TAACTATACATGACACATATGATAGTAATAATAACACTCTAACCAGGCGAATTGATATGGGGTTTTATTTCAAACTAGTTATCCGCCCCGACTTCGCACGGGTGTACTTTTGGGTGACTTTTCCGTATGATTTTTGAAATATTCTTTCATGCAAACCTTATTCTGACAATTACAAAAACAACAAAATAATTAGCCTAATAGATGTAGCCGTTCTGAAGAGATGCCCTTACGTACATTTGGCAGTTGATTTCTATTTATATTGATTGATCTTTCTACCCTTGCACTAGCGTATCTTAAATAGTAACTGTCCGGTTCTGTTTGTCCGCTTACTTCTTTTAAAGTACGCAATGGATTTTATATAGCTTTCGCTATCATTCAAATATGTTTCTACAGAAAGCTTCTATATATAATACATCCTAATATACATTCGTGGGATTTCTTATACATATAGTGCCCCTCAATTTAATGAGTTGTCATTACAAAAGAACTGTTTTTTAATGAGCTAAAATAAAATAGTACAGCACTTGTGCTATCGGTATATGCTCACAAAGCACCAGTGAGAGATGGATAAGTGAGGAAGCAGTTAGCCCATCATGACGGACTCCACAACAAATTGACCATGATGGTTTCCAGGGGAGCCCGCGTGGAGGCAACTTAATTGGCGCTATATTGTTGGCAATCCAGCAGTTACTAACAATCCCTTTCCCTTTAACTAGTGAAAGTTGGCTATCAGCTCACCGAATCTGTACTTGTCTCTTGTGAGATGGAATAAATCGGCTGCATTTGCAATGCTCGTCCACTGGAGGTAAAGGGATTGTTTGTATCAGGTACCCTATCAGGTCATCCTCCACGCGGTTCCCCCTGAAAATCTTAGTGGCTAATTCTTGTTCAATTGGTCACTATAGGCCAACTATCTTGCCTTTATCCTCACCGGTCACCCTTCACTGATACCCCGCCAGCGAATACCGATAGCGCAGGCGGGATTACCACTCCATCGTCACCCATTAAAAAAGAAATGCCCGTCCACTCCTAGAGGTTGCGGAGCCAAGACGTTCTACAATCGACCCTTCTCAATAGTTTTATTTTATTATATAACTACCTCATCATCCTCGTCGTATCAGCCGGCAACTGTCCACTACAGAATAAGTATATAAGATACTGAATAGATAAATACATAGTGCTTCGTTTCTCCTATCAATTGTGAAATCCTGAGTCATATTGGAGTTGAAAAGAGTAATTCTTACATCGTCACAACACGACATATTCCATAAATGTTGAAATAAAAATCTATTTCAGTTATTGAATTAAATCCTAATGCCACCCCAAAGATAACGTTTTCATACGAATGCCCCCGAATTCCCAGCAATCAGCCGATCTCATTAGCGGATGCCGCTTGTTTGAACACAGATTTACTCACGGTCGGATTTTTTTAATCTCACTCGCTTCAATTTGCAGTTTCAAGATTTACATATTAAACTGACGCCCGCTTGCTCTTGACGTGTAAAATAGATTCACAGATGAGGGATTCTTATACCTACTATATATTTAAGAACGTAATATAGAATTTAGAAATTTATTTAACTTTACTCAGGGCAAAGCCAGGGTGGGCAGATCTTGTAAAAATTCATTAGAGTCCATGGGGATGTCTACTTTTCCCCTTTTAAACTACCACAAAACTTTTATCATATGTTGCACATAAAAATTCTAATAAAAATTTTGACCTACTTCATATTTTGCTTTGGAATTTCTCAAATATTTTTTGCCATTAAAATTATATGTTATGATGAATAAATCCCAACACCGGCACTATCCGGTAAGATTCTGTACGCTCATAAAGGCAGTATAATCTATATCATCTGTGTCATATCAATATAGTATATAAGCAAACATTTTATAATATCATCAATACCAAAGGGAGACTTTGTACAAAAGTCGATTGCTTGGGTATCTCTGTCCCATTCGTGTTTTTACCGTGAAGCAGTTGTGTTTGCATGGTTGTGTTTCGGTTTGAGGGTGGGATATGGCGTGAATTTACAGGGTACAGAGGAATAACACCTGAGTCCTCAGGAATGGCAACGCATGGGGGGTATCATGGGCGAAACAGTATACTCTGTTATATCCAACGGCAACGGTTACCACTTTCCATCAGGGCCGTCAGCTTGTCTCATATATATATGAGAAGTATAAAAAAATCTATCAATTATTTATTTTGTAAATAATAGGTACATACATACGATGATACATTTAGAACTAAAAATTTTGTATCATTTATGGTAGAAATGGATTTATCATTATATTTTATATTTAATGTCAATAATTTATTATGTCTTTGTTTGAAATATATTAAATTATTTTTTGTCATTATTAATATTTACTAATAAAAGTATGACGCGTTATTTGGAGGTAACTACCTACCTCGCAAATTTTTTCAATCAATCTTTTTGTAATTTCATAACCATTTATTACGTGATTAATGTTTATTCAACTTGACCTTGGCCGACCAAAGTAAGTCATCGTTCTCAGTAATTAAATAAATAGGTATTTTCATTTGTTGGATTATTCTCAAATAATCAATTATTTTAGTTCTCCTACGAACATTTTAGATTCTTGAGCATTGTAAAACTGCGAATATAACCCTCTTATCAGTTTTTACTCGGCTAGCAGTGTAAGATCACTTCAGTTCCGTAACTCGTCACTATAAAGATTTTATAATTTATTGCAAAATAAGGTTTATGGCAGAATATGTATTTTTTAAATTTTAATGGCTATGTTAACCCATTAGAAGTCAAATAAAAAGTATTGCTTCTTTTTTAAATTTTCTTTATTTTCATACTAAAATAAGAGCATCGAAACACAAAATACGAAAAAAAATTCAAATATAGTAATTTTCGCGAAACTATGGGGGTGTACTCAATTGAGTACACTGACCACCTCTATGTATGAAATATTTTTAAACACGCTTTTTCGACACAAAGTGTTTTTAGGCACTTTTTACACTGCCAACGCACTCTTGAATGACAATGGACACATCGCAGCTAAATTTAATTTTAGTAGGATAGTGTCCAATTTCATATTGGGAAAGACCACAGACTATTGATGCTGCCTGACGCGATCTCTTTGATCACCTTGGCGTAAATAATATCGTGCGATGTGACGACGAAACATGAGTTGATCCATAGGATCATCGTTACTCATCACATGTAATCGCCAGGCATTAGCATTAGCTACGTCTAACATGTAAGTGAACAACACCCACCACCACTTTTTAGAAACAGCAATTCTATATAATGAAACAGACTGGTCCAGCTCATCCACACCTCCCATATTTTTGTTCTACGTTTGGAATAAACGTGCCATCGCCATGTCCATCTTTTCCTTCTTTATTCGACACCATCACTTGACTGTTTCTAGCGATTCAATGGTATCCTAGTTAGTTACCATGATACATACACTGCTATCTTTCCACCTTACCAATAAAAGTTCACCTGTTTTGTCAAACCTGTAGTCATAAGTGGCACGTTCTTTCTTTTTCATATCCTTTGTGCTAAACCTAAGAACTTTTTCTAAATCAGAGGAATCCAGTCGAAATTCATGTCTATTATGTTGATGAGTGTATAATTGGCTGTGTTTTCTATAATCATATCAATTATATCATTATCAATATTTTTTTCCAATATTTGTACAGAATTGAGGCCTTTCAGCTGTTCATAAATAGTACTTTTCCTGTCATGAACTTCAATAATAATATAATAGTTTCTTGGCCGGCAAAGAGTATGTAGGGAAACACTTTCGCTAAATCGGGTTCGAATTCGAAGTGCCAATCCACTTCAAATTCGAGCCCGATCCGAATAGAATCTAGTCATATTCTTTTTGACACCAGCGGTTTTTCATCACTATTATCGTACGAGCTGTCTTACGTATCGCTATCCTTTCGGTATGTAAATATCTCCATAGTACCAGGTACGTCTTGCGGTATGGGACATGTCGCATTATCCTCATCAGTGCCTTCCTCCTCATCTGTCACCGCACTTGGATCAGGTGGGATGATCGCCAAGTCATATTCACCCTTATCGTTTTCTTCTAAAACAGCTTCAATCGCTGCTTCAAGATTATTTTACCTCTTGTAGCATTATTGTTTATAACTAATCGAAACGTATTTTATACTAATGAGTTATAAATAAGAAGAACTTTTTATTAAAATAACAAGGTAGTCAATACGATAACTTTTGATAAAGTAAAATAACAAGGTAGGCGATCTGTAACTGGCACTTAAATATATGCCTGTACTCAATCGAGTACAGTGACTTCTAATGGGTTAAGCAATTACATCGCCAACTTTATTCCGATTTTCTCAATTAATTTTGTAATTAATAGGGTTTTCTTTAGGCAATCCTGTATTATTCCCCTTTTTATTTTATGATGATTTAAGCTGCAGATCTTCTTTCTATCACTAAAAATCTATATATAAACACGCGAATTTACAATCAATTTTTTTTTTCTATTTAAATTCATACATTTACAATGTAGAAAACTACGAAACATCCCATATGTTTGTCCCGGAGATATGTACTTACTACACATTTCGTCGTTTATCAGTACATGTTTTTACTATCGAAATCCCTTTTTTCAAAACAATTTATACTTAAAAATACTTTGTAATTTCCTTACTAAATTAAATAAGAACTTTAGACAACTGTAATCTTATAAATCAGACATATTTTTCGGCTGCTGCCATTCAACACTACAACCGACATAATACACGATTCGCCACATTTCACCAAGATATTGAAATGTAACATACCGCAGGGTGAGCTTTAGTTTAATGACTGTGTTTATCAGTCAAGAATTGAATAATAAAATTAAAATAAAAGCAATAAGATGGTACAGTGGCATGTCATATAGCCATATTAATACCAAAATTAAACAATCAAATAATGGCTGTATCCAACAATAACTGTCTGATGTGTCACAATAGAATGAAATAAAAAAAATTTACTCACCTAACAAATAATTGTTCTTGGTTGTTCACACGCCATGATACTACCGTAGCTCCTGTAAAAAATATTAAAATAAATATACCACCTCAGAAATAAGGCAAATCACCTCAGAAAAGATAAAAAAGATTATATATAAAGAATTATTCCAAAATACAAAGTTTCAAGAATATATTCTTATCACTTGGAGAAACACATGTGTATATTTAATAGTAGCCACTTTTCATCAGGTTCCTTGTCAACTCATTTGTCTTCCTAAGTAACATAAAAAATCAGTATGATAATTATTTCTTTATTGATACCAAAATTACTTACTGTGCTAGTACTAACATATATTATTCATACCCATATCAAATACTAAAATTTGATATAAAATATTAACTGCACCTGTGATGTTATCTGAATGACTGAGATATGACTGGAATTAAAGTAAGTCAGTCCTTGTCCATGACGAAAACTGTTTATATAATAAATTTTATAAATATGCTGTTGCAGCTGTTCATACACCAAAATGTAAAAAATAAGCAAACCTTTCATTTTTATAATATTTATAAGGATTAACAAGGAAAATGTTAATTTAATAGTAATACTTTATAAAATAGTAAGCAAATTTTAACCCAGTTTTATCATAAAATTTTTAATTTTAATAATAGTTTGTGAGTACTTATATGTGAATATATTGGTGAATAATATAAACATGATTTAATCAGACAATCAAAGACAAAACTTATGCAAATATAGACAAGAAGTACACATTATAAAATTGAGAAACAAACTTAAAACAGATCAGAAAGGTAAAAAAATATATAATACAATGTTCATAATTTTTTACTCATTGTCGACATTCATGATAAACCACTTAGCAATTATAAATTATTATTACTTATAAAATTATAAAATAACATTCTCTGTAAGAGTGGATATAAATTATATTCATTTCCTCATATAATTGTTACTTATTAATAATGCTTGACTATGTATGACTTATGAATATTTTTTGTGAGTACATCAAATACCAACCTACAATTTAATAGCAAGTATCTACAGTTTACTTCCTACAATCCAATAGCCAAGGTCGTACTCGCCGCAGACAATTTATTCTATTCACTGAGAAAAAAACTAACTTGAAAACTGAGTACCTGCGACGTACACACACAATCACAACACCGATTCGTAGCTAAGTTGCTGAAAGATTTCTGTCTAGTCCCTACTTGATGAATATTATCAAAGCATCATTAAGTAAAAAAGCACCACGTATTTTAAAAGTTCCGCGCGTCGTTACAAAAATAAATAAAGAAGTAAAGGTTATGCCGCCGTTTTTATAATTACTTCTAATTCATCATAGTAACGTAATTTTAAGCTATTAACTATTATACTTATGGTAATATAAAATATTTACAAAATCTTAACTTACCGAAAAGGTTTACGGTACAAGTTGTATTGTTGCCTCTATCAAGAACGACAACACTTGTCGCTGCCATTTTCCAATTGACAGCGAAGCCAACTGCCAAAAGCTGTATTCAGTGTTGCCATCGTTTCAGCTTTACGTATTGACAACTGACAGTGACTTTACGAAATGTTACCTTCATCAACCATTTAAAATTAAAAACACTAGACATGAAAATTGAACGATTTTTTACGATAACTTAGTAACTCAGGACTCAGAAGCACCTTTCTGCGCGGACACATTAATTCAAAATTGCGCATGGCGCACAAAATAACTTGTATCGCTGACCTTATTTTATTATGTGTCAAAAAAGTTTACAACGTAAAAAAATATTTTATTATCCTATATTTTACTGCATTTATATATCGGCTGTACTGTACAATGTCAGTTGTATAGGCCTCGCTCTATTTGTGGGGTTTTGCGAATAGTTGTCACGCAACACCATCCTTCCTACATTTTATAAATATTACCTACATTTTTCCAAGCCATTTTGCTTTTCTCCAATAATACTCGATACTTCGTATTGACCCAAAACATTTAGAAAAAGTAAATTAACACATCTACCACAGTGAAGTGAATTGGCGCAATTGCGTAGCGTATTATAGTCAATAAAGTCCATGTCCCCATATCTAAAAAACATAATAAACAACTAAATTATGAAACTACAAATGAAATGTATAATATCTGTTGTATAATTTTTATGCCCATTAAACCGAAAAAAATGAATATTCATGTATTCTCGAAAGCTTGTTGCTGAATTGTTCATCATATTAGTTAAGATCTTAGGTTAAAATTAAACGATTACATAAAAATCTTATGTCTAATATTTTCTTAATCAAGTAATACATATAACAACTATAATAATGAAAAAGATAAGGATATGAGGAATGGCGCTTGCAAAATATTTTAATTTTATTCTAAGCAATAAAATTAAAGATATAAAGTAAATTATGTAAAAAATATGTAATTATTAATAGTTTATTTAATAATACTCACATATTTATTATTAATATTAATAATGAAATGTCACAAATAAAGAAAAATTACAAAAATTTAAACAATTAATGATAAATTGATATTTATATGAACATTGTCTCCATTTCTTTAAATTGAACGCGTCAATAACGAGCCAATCAGAAACGGACAACGCTGTGCCGGTAAATGTCATTTTCGGCATCATACGTGTATTTTTCCGGTCCTTGTCCTTTCCTTTCTTTCTCAGCTTTAGTTAGGCATTCAGAAATTACGCACGTTTATTGAGAAGTGCTGACGATTATTAAAAATGTTCAGTTCACTCAAAATAGTATTAATATTAGGTGTAATTTATTTGTGTAAGGCTGCCGAGGAAGATGTTCTCGAACTTACAGATTCAGACTTTTCCACGGTAATAGGTCAGCATGATACCGCTCTAGTCATGTTTTACGCTCCTTGGTAAGTCATTTACACCTATCTGCGAATATCGCTTTGGAAAACTATATATAAGTAGCTCATTTTCAATTAAATATACTGCCTGTAGGTGCGGTCACTGTAAAAGATTGAAACCGGAATATGCTGTGGCTGCCGGCATTCTCAAAAATGATGATACGCCAGTAGCCCTCGCCAAAGTGGACTGTACAGAAGCCGGGAAAAGCACTTGCGAGAAGTTCTCTGTGTCAGGATACCCTACTCTGAAAATATTCAGGAAGGGTGAACTATCACAAGAGTATAATGGCCCCAGAGAGTCTAGTAAGTTCCATACTCGTTCTACAATATATACAATAATTTATTCATGACAATAAAAGTAACAGCAATATGCTAAGTGTAGCTTTAAAAAAATATATAAATCTAAAAATATATTACATTAAGAATTTTCCTATATAAAAATAATCACAATGTTACAATAACCAAAAATAAATTCAAACTGTATGTATTAAAAACACAAACACAACTATGTACAACCCTTACCAATAATTAGGCTTAGGGTTACCCACAAAAAAAAGTTGTGAAATGTATTCATGTCTAAGTGGCATTGTGAAGTACATGCGTGGACATGATATCTCCAATTTGAAGGAGCTTGGACCTACTAAACCTATCTGTTCATCTTCAGATGGCATTGTCAAGTACATGCGTGCACAAGTTGGTCCCAGCTCCAGGGAACTAAAGACTGTTGCTGAATATGAAGCCTTTGTGGGCAAAGATGATGTTGTTGTAATTGGTTTCTTCGAGAAGGAAACAGATCTCAAAGGAGAGTTCCTTAAGACAGCAGATAAAATGCGTGAAGAAATCACTTTTGGACATTCCATTGTTAAGGATGTGTTGGCGAAAGCTGGTTACAAGTAAGTTTATATTATTTTCATTTACCATATGATTGATATTTTCTTTATATTTATTCACTATTTATGACCAATTGATAGCAACATATTAATTGGTCATAAATAAGAGTTAAGACTGAAATATTAACAATTACACTTATTAGTTTTTTTTTTTATAGTTGTTTTATATAGGTTTATAGGTGTTTGTTTGTTCTTAATAGGTTCATATCACAATTATGAAGAAGCTGTTCTTTGTATTAAATGTATATATTAAACAATTTCAATTCATGCAAACATAACTAATAAAGTTTCATTATTTGAAATTAAATAATATGCTATCATTTTAAACCAGGATGTCATAATGATAACATGAAACCATCACATTTGTAATGATATATATGAATGTCAAAACGTATCTGAATTATATTTCTATCTTTTTAAATTCTCATATTACCATGTCCAATTTCCATTTTTTTTTTTTAATAAAAAAGATCTTTTTAAATAATTATGACCATTTTCTACCTTTAAAATTCCATTATTCTCAAATTTAGATTATTGCACTACAATGTGACACTATGATTTAGCTATTTTATTATATACTCTTTTTTATACTTGCTAAGTATAATAAAATTATATTTAGTAAACTAACTAAAATATATAAATGTGGAGTGTATAATATATATATATAGACTTGTTTTTCATTAATTCACATAGATTTTAGAAGTAGGAAAACCAATTGAATTTTACCACTTCTAGAAAACATAACAAGTAAAAACATATACCAGATTGCATGTTACAACTTTATTATATTAGTTAGATATTTGCCTTACATCATTAAAGATTTGTCCCATTATTGACAATATTATGTCTTGAGAAGTACATAATATTTACAATAAAGTCAAATTTTAGGTAAAGAGACCAGTATCAGTAAGCACTCGACTTATCAGTAGGTTTAAGCAAAGATAAGTACTATATTATATTTTGTACTAACTTCATTGTTACTATTTAATATTTTAAAATATTTATTATCTATTTTTCACAGCTTTACTATCACAAACTTCCATTGCATTAAAATTTTAGGTATGTATAGAGAGAAATCAAAATTATTAACATTTTCTTTTATTGAGACAGTGTTATGTCTGTAAAATAGAAAATTTTTCTAAACAAGTTGAGAAATAACAAAAAGATTTGACCCTTTGATACTAACTTAAGAGTTGTATGTTGTATTCTGTATGTTGTAGTGTGTTTGTTGGTATGATATAATATGACCTTAAAATGATGCTAATTTATTTCAATTTCACATGTATATATGATCTTCATAGACATTATCTTATTAATCTTACTGATAATAAAATTGAAAAAAATAAAAATAACTAGAAGATTTCTATACACGCCAAATACAAAAAGAAATTAGAAGGCTCTTTATGAAACGCAATAGATGGCAAAACAATATTTTTTTTAGAATTTTTTTCTGTTTGTGTATATGTTTATACCAGCATCAGGCAAAAACAACTACATTAAATGGGTGTCTTTTTTTTAATTGGAACAGTTTTCACAGTTGTAATTCTTAATACGCTTAGACCTAATAGATATTAATAGAAATTAGATACACTATCTAGAAGGGGATCATTTCATTGTTTTTCCCATTTCTGAAAATATGTGGGTACCAAGTAGCGGAAAAAAAGATATTTAATTTATAATAGTATATCAAAGTAAAAGTACATAAAAAAATATTGATGTAACTTTGGAACACTTGTTCAAACATTGATCAAGATCATTTTAAAGTCAAGATAATATAAAAATATATATAAAAACATCCATAAAAATACTGAATTACCTCCACATAGTCTGTTGATTTATTATAGTTAAAGTTGCCTTAGAACATTGTTTATCAACCATTTTAATGTCGCGACCCACGAAAAAGCCAAAAAAGTTCAGAAACGATTCCATAGACTCTGACATAGAATATAATTTAAAGATTTATGGCAACATGAGCATGACTATTTGATTGACATAACAGACAAATGGACATTATAAATATGATTTTATTTCTATTGTTTTATTTTTTAACTCATTATAGCAGATTAAATATTTTTTTCGTTTATATTCTGTACCATTATGATTATTTATGATTTTAGTATAGTACAGATTAGTATCAATTTAACTTATTTAAACATATTCTTGAATACGGGAAGATTATCTATTATAAATATATAGATGCTAGGAAATATTGAGCTGTTAAAAGATGAATATGAAAATAGAAGGTTTCTTGTAAAATAAAATTATATCATGCTAGCTATATTTCGCGTATATACAGTATCCTGTATATAAAGTTAGAATATAAGCTATCCATGTGCCAAATTTCATTCAAATCCGTTCAGTATTTTTTGCATAAAAGAGTAACAAACGTCATACGTCCGTAAACAGACTTTTACATTTATAATAGCAGTAGCATTATAATAAGATTTATTTAAAAAAAAATCTATTAGGTTATTAACAGAAGGTTATTACAGACGCGTATAACTAACCTGTTTTTTAATACATATATGCATATACATATATACTGAATGCTTTTTTTATTTTACCTTATTTCATATTGTCGATAGCTTATCAACTTATCGCGCAAATGGACGCATTAATGGAATTCCGTTTTTTAATAGTTACTCCTTTAATTTTAACTACATGTTTAACATTCATTTTCCGATAATCAACATAATGTCAAATAGAGAAGAAGGTATTTTCAAATAATATTTTATCAAAAAAATATTTATATCATTAAATATTATATCATTATTTTTATCCTATTTTCCTTATCATACCAAAGCATATGCAGTCATGAGTCCTGGTAATTATAGAATTTTTATTATAATTTTCACGCTAAGCTCAAGCTGAAAATGAATAATTCAATATTAATGGTAGAAAATTATCCATAGCTAATTCACTAATAACTGTTTTTATACACGCTCCACATGCAATTTTCCGCGTTTTTACACCTATCACACTTTTATACAACAATTATTAATATCAACCTATGTTAGTAGAACAAAGATATTTCCTTTACGTTTATTGTTTAGATTCAATACGCCGTTAACAGATTTTTTCTAAATACAAACATTTATATGTTTGTATTCAACAGAGATCGAATCCGCGACCATCGAACACTAAGATGGCGTGTTAAACTACTACACTGTAAAGGTCATAAATATTTAATAATTAAATAAATAATATTTATCTATTTAATTTATTTTCAACTAACTTCAAAAAGAAGGAAGTTTTCATTCAGTTGTATTTTTTTTTGTTTGTTACTTCATAACTTCATCTGTGGTAAACCGATTTGGAAAATTCTTTTTCATCTGAAAGCATGTACCTACAGATTGGTCTAATAGAAATTTTATCAAAATCGGTTCAGTGGTTTAGTTTTAAAAATCGAAAAACTGGTTTTGCCACAATAGAGTTTAAGTTTCTAAGTTTTTGTTTTAAAACACAATTTTAATTATGCTTACCGTAATTTTCTCATAGAGCCATTCACGAAACAATTGTTAGTCACTATTGTTGTGGCAGCTATATGAAACCTTTTGTTAATCTTTTGTCACCAGGGACAATGTGGTCCTGTACCGTCCCAAGCGGCTCCAGAACAAGTTCGAAGACTCGTTTGTCGTATACAGCGGCGAACCTGAGACATACTCGCTCAAAGCTTTCATCAAGGAGAACTAGTAAGACTCATTAAACCTCTTATTAGCTTTAGTACATCTAAGATTATATAAATCAGGTAGTTTATTATAAATCTAAATGTAATAATTGTTTCTCTGTTGACAACTTGGTTATGTATAAAGAAAATACTCTTGAATCACAGTTATCTGTAAACAGAAAATAAAAAAAAAATAACCTAAAATGTCTATACGCTATTTTTTGTTTACTTTACAGGTAGTAAAAAAAAATAAGAAAAATATTATTATTATTAATTTGAAACATGAGATACAAGGGGTGTTACATATAAAAATCATAAGTACATGTTTTGCTATACGATAGGCATGTAAATGTTGGGTTTTTATTTTAGTAGTATTATCCAATCGATTTAATTAAATAGAAAAAGGGCAATGTTTTGAAGCAAAGACAAATGTGTAACATATTTCAAAAATATTGGTAGAAAGAAAAGAAAACGGGTGTTAATTCGAAATTTTCTTTCAGCCACGGTCTGGTCGGCATCCGCCAAAAAGACAATATCCCAGACTTCGGCAATCCTCTGGTTGTTGCGTACTACGACGTGGACTATGTCAAGAACCCGAAAGGCACCAACTACTGGAGGAACCGCGTGCTCAAGGTATGGTAACTGGTCATTAATACATCACAAAATAAATAAAGTTTTGTTTGTATTAAAACAATCAAATAAAAAACATTTTTGTCTAAGTATTAATAAATAAGTGTAGAAGAAAAAGGAAGTGATTTTATAATTTAAAGAAACCAGATGAATGGCATTCTTAATCCTACATGAACTCGGGGAGAGTAAGTTTGTTAATTTAGTATACTTACTCCAATACTGATAGTTTACAGATACTTCAATTAAAAGCCGGTTTCTGTAGGTGAAAGTTTTTTTTTTTTTATACAACTTAGAATGGCAAACAAGCTGACGGCCCACCTGATGGAAAGTGGTAACAGTCGCCTATAGACATGAGCAGTACCATGGACATAACAGAGTATACTGTTTCGACCATGATACCCCCCATGTGTTGCCATTCCTGAGGACTCAGGTGTTATTCCTCTGTACCCAGTAAATTCACACCATATCCCACCCTTCAAACCGAAACACAGCTGCTTCGCGGTTGAAACACGAATGGGACAGAGGTACCCAAGCAATCGACTTTTGTACAAAGTCTCCCTCTGGTAATCATGATCAAAGTATCATCATCATCATTATATTTATATTTATTATCATATTTATATTTATTAGCCTTTAACAGTCTACTGCTGGATATAAATCCCCCACTAGAGGAGTTTTGCCAGTTGTTGTCACGCTTGGCAGGCGGATTGGCAACTGCAGTTAGGCTTTTGAGATATTTTAAGAGGGCTACTGCTGCCCATCCCTCGCCCTTTCATAGTCGCCTCTTATGACACCCATGCGAAAAATTCCAAAAAGGACTGTAAAAAAAAGTTCATACAAAATGTATACAATTATTTTTAATTCCTGACGGACGACTGACAAAATCCCCAAATTTTACAGCAACTGTGCAAATGGTACTTTCAATAATTTGTTGGTACAATTTCTAAAGTGAAACCTGTATCCGTGTGCTGCGAATAATTAATAGTATATAATTCATCGCCTCCTGATTGTTAGGTTGCGAAAGAGTTGTCCGAGGTTAACTTCGCTGTGAGCGACAAGGACGACTTCACGCACGAGCTGAACGAGTATGGCATCGACTTCGCCAAGGGTGACAAGCCGGTGGTCGCTGGACGCGACGCGGACGGAAACAAATTCGTCATGACTGAAGAATTCAGGTAATAATATGGAATTATATAGGTCGCAGTTAGTTCACTAGAAATTTCCTCGTTTAACTTCACAATAGAACACAAAAAAATATCATATTAACTTAAATCCCAATGCAAAGAGTTTACAAACTGATGGGCAAATTTCAATCCAGTTTTTTTTTTTTTTTTTATTGATTGCAGTATATTTTTATCTTTAAAAGCTACTTTACTCTGAAAGTAGGAACTGGCAATGACATTGAAGTTATGGGTTCACTCACGGAAAATGTTAATCAATAGCTTCTGATTAGATTAACACCATGGACATCAAAAACTGTACATTCTAATATCATTAACAGATACTGCGCCTAACTATCCAGGTTGTCTGAAAGAGATTGATTTTAGCGATAAGGCCGCATTTTATATATGCACATTCTGTGTAAATCCTCCTTGTATATATATCTTTTGTATGCAATAAAGAGTTTATTATTATTATGCCTGCGATTGTAGTGAATATAAAATTTTACTTGTCCATATCGGACTATATAATAATATCTTATTGATAACTATAAAACAACGTCTCTAACGCAAAGCGCCAAACGCCTCTTGAAGAAGACTTCCGGATGAAGTAAAAAAAATTGTCGGAAATGGCGAACCTAATAAGTGCATTAAACTCCCATTGTACTTGTGTATAAACATCGTATTAAAAATGAACATAATTATTAAAAAATAATATAGAATATATAATTTAGTCAAATAATTGAGCTGTTTTACAAAGTTATATCAACATTCGTTTCGCTATATTAATGTCAAATCAACCGTGTTATCAATGTGTACGATACGGCTTCGTAACCTTAAAAAAAGCATATTCTTTTTAAAAAGTCGGCAGTACACATGCAATGCCTTTGGTATTGCATGTGTATTGGTGAGCCGCATGCTTGTTTGCTCCCTGTCTTATAAAATGTTTTAGATAATATTTCAGAAGTCATTGTGATGTGTTTAAAAAAATATGAGCAAAAGCATGTTGAACTGATATCTATCTATCCATAAATCCTATGTCACTGTGTTAGGTTGACTGGAAGAGATCTCTTTTAAAGATAAGTTCGCCTTTGCTAATATTGTTATTAACTTATTGTTGTTACCTGTATGTTTTAGTGCAATAAAGAATATATATATATAAATAAATAAAAATAATAATAAAATGATGTAATAAATAAAATAACAGTAAAAGTTACTTTCGCCGAGAAAAAAGTACTGTTAAATAAGGAAGTTCAAACAATGCATTTATTTATTTTACAAATGCAATAAATTTATAGTTATGATATATGGATCAAACAATTAAATCTGAACTAAGGATATAGAAATATTTCCTCTCAACATTCAATAAATTTCTTCGTAACCGCAATAGTCAAGTGCCTCTGTATAGTAGTAAGGGTAGTGAGTGACTACCTTATCAATGATTACAGTCATGAGCATATTTTTGTATGTTCATTTTTATTACACACTGTTACACGACATTAGTAATAATAAACCCTTTAATGCGTAGTAAAAGGAATATGTTAATCACGATTTTGTGAAAATCTTGTAAAAGAAATATTTCTAAGTTGCAAATGCACTGTTAATTCTTTATAACTATAAATAAATACTGCTATTGCTGGTCTATTACTATCTCTTGAATTTGAATTATGATATATTTTAATTCAACCTGCAATTTCCTCATACAATTGTTCTATATCATTGGAATTTTGATACATTCCAATTTTGTGTATTTTTCCTTAAAATGCTTATAATGTTAGTCGTGCATAATGCAAGATAACAAATTGCATCCTTACATAAATGAAATGCCTTTAATTAAGTAGGTACTTAAGGAAAAATGTAAAGAAAATTATAATTTATCACGATTTCAATGTTAACGGCTTTTATGAATAAATTTTTTAGTTATGTGAGTATAGGATAGGGCTGTCACCTGTCCGGATTTTTTTTATATATTCGTCCACGGACAACCGTTGGCTGTTTGATGGGAAGTTTTTAAAAAATATTGTCCCACAGAAACACGGTTATTTGAATACTAAGCAATAAATATAATAAAATATTTTATATAAATTTAGTACAAGCTAATTTATGTGAATTTTATTAAATATTGCAAAATAAATAAGCTACTATTTATACATATATTTTTTACTCCACTTAAAGGTCTCATGCCCATATGCTCAAACATGAAAATATGCCGCGCAAGCGACATCTCGTGAGAATAATTAGTAAATAATGATAAGTTTAAAGATGTCTAGATACTTGTATAAAATGTTACTCTGATAGAGTAACATTTTATACAAGCTATTATTCTTTCTTTTATTTATTATGTCAAGTCAAACAACAAAAACTGTAAAATAAAGCTAAAAAGTTACAAGAGTATAATTTTGTTTCCAGTATTGAAAACCTAGTGGCATTCACCAAGGATATGCTGGATGGCAAGCTGGAACCATTCATCAAATCTGAACCAGTGCCTGAAAATAACGACGGACCAGTGAAGGTGGCAGTTGGCAAGAACTTCAAGGAGCTCGTGACTGATAGCGGCAGGGATGCGCTGGTCGAATTCTACGCGCCCTGGTGTGGACACTGCCAGAAATTAGCACCTGTTTGGGAAGAACTCGGCACCAAGGTATGTAGAAGAGTAGTTGTTTTATTTTTTTTAAATAATTGAAGTTTTATAAACCAATGAGTGAGATAAGGTCGCAAATACTCTAAATACAGCCCCAAGTTTTACATTTTAAAGTAAAAGTATGTTTTTAATTTTGACATAAGATGTTTATTACAAAGGAAACAGTAGACAAATTACTCTAGCTACCCTGTCTTATGATTACATTTGTGATCTTATTAGTATAAAAAATATAATGTTTTTGCTAAATATCAGAATTATCAGAAGTCTGTGACTCCATTACTACATATATATGTGTGATTTATCTTGATCTATTTAGTATATTTATGTTTATGTATTATTATTTATATTATATATGTATGTTTATGTATTGTAATCTTATTTTTATATTTAGAATTTTTTGCATTTTGTCTGATCCCTTTTATGCATTTACTGTGTCTGATTTGCGCCATCTACCTTTCTCTCTGTACTTATCCATTCTTTATGCCAGGTTGTCTGTAAGAGATTGCTTTTAGCCTTTTTGTATATGCACATTCTGTATAAATACTCCTTGTCTACTGTGCGCAATAAAGAGTTTATTATTATTATTTATATCCAATATTCTGAATTATATTATACCGACTTCTGCCCATTACAGTATATGTCACTGGTTACCCGCCACCATATACCAATAGCTCAGACTGTATTAACATTCCATTTTCATCTCTAAATAATGTAGTCAATGACACTACTTAACTGCAGCCATTATATAATATTCTTTGTAATACACAGCTCAAAAACGAGGATGTGGACATTATAAAGATCGACGCGACCGCCAACGACTGGCCCAAGTCGCAATTCGACGTGTCCGGTTTCCCGACCATCTACTGGAAGCCGAAAGAAAAATCTAAGAAGCCAGTCAGATACAATGTGAGTACAAACAGAAGTAGTATGTATACTGAACTAGATGTTCCACTCATGCAGACATTCTTACAATCTAAAATATCAGTAGATATGTTACGTTTATGAGAAATAATAAATATTTTCTATCTCTCTATGCCGAGTGTATACAGTAGCGAAAATTATGGTTACTTGTCTAGAAAGCTAAGCAGATTCAAAACTTTTTTATCGGTTTTTTAATTTATCGAGTTTTGCTTCACCTGTGCAGGTTGCATTAATTTTGTCATAGTTTAAATTATTTTTTTTTTTAAATAAAATCTAATATATATTCCATTACAGGGTGGCAGAGCTCTTGAAGACTTCATCAAGTATGTGTCAGAGCAGGCTTCCAGTGAGCTCAGGGGCTGGGATAGAAAGGGCAATGCCAAGAAAGAAGAACTGTAAACATAATGTTGTGATGTAATACTTTCCATGAAAGATCTGTGAGTGAATGGATAGAATGTCTAGTGGTATGATTGTCTTAACAAATCACAAATTACAACTAACTTAGTGTGTCATACATTTTGTATTTGTGGTCACACTTAATTATGAATTGCTATTATTCATAACAAATGTATGTACATACCAAGTTAGGTTAGTTTTAACTTAGATTTGTCTAAATACAGTAATTTGAATGCATTTCTTACGTAATGTCAGTGGGATATTAAATAAATTAGGTTGTATTTATAATATTGTCTTTTTATTTCACTCTCCAAATAATTTCTTTACAATTATCCATTACAGACTATCGCCTAATTGTATTTATAATTTTAAAAATTTTTTGACTTCATCAATGAAATTGATAGCAGATGTAGTGTGTATATCCTTACAAATATTATAAATTGGAAACAGAGTTTATGTTACCTTATAGCACCTTGACGGCTTAGCCAATTACTATAAAATTTTGTACACACATACAATATGAGATGTAGAAGGATATAGACTACTTATCTGGTCAGTAAACATCCCAGTCACGCAGACGAAGTAGCGGATAAAAGTTAGTATATATCCATGATACATAGCATAGATAATAAGTAAAACTACAGCTACAGATAATGACTACTTGCCATAAAATAGTAAAATTGTATTCAAATTTAATTCCTTGGACGCTTACTACAAATTTTTTTGCTCTGATTACTATAAGTAATTGAAACATAATTAATCATATCTTACTTTATTAAAACATGTCTCATATTAATAATGTTTTTAAAACGCAAAAAAGGAAAAACTCAATTGGCTTTGTTTGTTTGTGTATATTCTAATATAATCGCCAATTTGGAATCAATATTTATAATACTTTTTATAATTGATAGAGTTATGCTGTTCTTATATTCATTTTATCATCTAAAAATCTGAAAATGTTTTAATGGGAATTCTGAATCAAACAATATTAGCAGATATATGTACAAAATTATTTATTATAAACTCTCTTCTTTCCACCTCTCAATCCACTCAACAATTGTGTTAACATTAGCTTCCAACTGTTCTGTGGTGTCATTCTGTAACTCCTTTACAATCTCTGGTTTATATGAAGCCTGTGCTTCTTCTAGTAGGGTTTCAAATATTTCACACTGTATATTGTCCTCTAATTTTTTACCTGTATAGCCTCTGAAAATAAAAATATACATTCAATTTTATAACATTTATTTTTATATTTTGTAGAACAGTACACTGAGAATTGTCTAGAGCAGTGTTTTTAAATTTTTTTCATCTCACAACACCCTTCCTAGACAACAATATTTTGCGAGCCTCTACTCCCTCAGGTTCTTAATCTGTGTGTATTTAATTATATTGCAAATATTAAAACAATTTTTTTTTTATAGTCAGGCATTGTTAAATACAATAAAATAAATAACTAACAAAGAATTATCTAAAACAAGCATCAATTATATTGCGAAATACCTCCATGGAAAAGCAATATGATAAATGTAGAGTTAAATAGCTAAAAAAATGTACACTGCAACCTTCCACGAGTCCCTTATAGAGGATTGGGACCTCTAGGGAGTCGCAACCTACACTTTGAAAAAAACTGCTCTAGAACATAATCGTTTCATAATATGAGAATTAAACAGTTTTTGAGCCTATTGATAATGGCAGAATTATTATGTTAAAACCATCTAAAACCATGCTAAAATCTATGATAGTATTGAAAAACCTGGTGTACTAGGAACAAACCACATTTAAAAAAGGAAGTATCTCAAATTTAAAAATTATAATTCAAATGAACTTACATTGGTCTTATTTTAAATATCAACAAGATAGTGTTGCTACCAAATTACAATTTAAATAAAATTAAAATAACAATACCTTTGTGTTAATCTGTCATAGAGTACAGTGTTGTTGGTTCTTATAACAAAAACTCCATCAAACCACCTCTCAGGGAAGAAGTCACAGCCATGGTAATCCACAATGTTACCACCATGGGTCATCATGCCTTCCATGATGTCCAGTAGCTAAAAAAAGTTATCAAAAACTATATGAACTAAATTTATTATTGCATTCTTTTATCAAAATAACTACAAGCACTTTGATCAAATTTGATTTTGGTTCATTGATAAGTGCTATTTTTTTTTATATATTTTTGTAGTTAACTTTTTATATTGTAGAGTAATAGAAACTGAAAAATAGGTGGAAAAGTCAAATAATTGACTTTCATGTCATTATTATTGAGTTTTAAAGAAATATAAAAGCACAAATTTCATACAGTTAATAATAATTTAGCTGAAATTACCTTGTCTTCGTTCAAAAATGGACACTGGTATTCTGGATCATACTCATCCAAGCAATTATGTTCTTCAGCCAATTTTGAAACTTCTCTCCAACTAAATTTGATTCTCTCTGCTAGTAAACGGGAAACTGTTGATTTACCCACTCCTGGAGTTCCTAAAACATGTATTTACTATGGCTATTAGGGATAAGAACAAAATGTATTTATGATTTAGGATTTATTATCATACATGAATAAAATAAATATGTATGATTGAGACACATTTTTCTAAACTTTTACATTTATAATATCAATAGCAAGTATTTATTTTCTATGAGCTTAATGTAAAATGCAAATTTAATTTTTTACTTTTCCTAAATATATTTATTAAGCTATTAATAATAATATTGTTTTATTATATTATAAATGAGATCCATTCACAATATTAGTGTAATTGCCTTTTTTTAAGTTTTGTAAGTCATAGAATTTCACTGTGCTTAAATAAATAAATATATGTATAGGAAGATTTAATTTTATTACCTGTTATTAAAATATTTGGGACGGTTCTTGGATAAGTAGCCATAATGATTAAAATATTGGGACAAGCCCAAACACGCGTAAATTAATACAGTATAAAATTCACTGAAATTAAAATATAAATTAGTAAAAATCAATTTACATATGCTATTTCGTTTTGGATTTTTTTATCATAAGTATGTAAAACAAAATTAGTTGCGAAACTATATAATATAGGTACACAATACACATGGTATTGAGTGCCGCTCTGTCATTGCTGTCAATGTCAGTCTGCTGTTACATATTAAACTGGCTGTAACTTCTTTAGACTGTCTCTAATCTGTGCTGTTAATATTATCATTCCTCACTCATAAAAATCGTCATTTTATTAAAAATTATTTTTCCAACATACATCTTATGCCTGTTAGGTCATTCTAACACTTTGATCTATAACTCCTTAGCTTCTTTTAATTCTCATAATAACAAAATTATAACTATGATCATTAATGGCAAAATTATTCTGTTCCTTTTTAATATCCTTATATCCTCTCTCCTTTTCTATTTGTTAGGGGCATTAAATAGGCAACACCAGGTTAGCCGCATGCTCGTTTGCCCCCTGTGTTGTAATAAAAATCTCTTGCCAAAATAAAAATAAATCTTTGACCAATTTTATTATTACACTTTTTTTTATTTATTAGTACCAAGTCTGTATCAGTAGCAATAATGACGTTTTTGTATAAATTTATGTTACCATCTCTAACTAATATTAAGAATCACCGATCCATTATGGCGTATTATGGCCATCGTGAATAAGCGTCATGACAACCAAAGTCATGACGCTATTTCAAAAACAACGTTTCATTTTAAATACTAAAATAACTAATATATATTTTGACAAGTTACGTAATAATAAAAAATTCGTGTTCAATGTAAGAATAAGTGACTTTTTACCAATAATAAAACACTAATTATTATTTATATAGTCAATGAGTATGTATACCTGGGGGTCCAAATGAGTGTCAAACAAATCAACCGACGAATCCATTTATGGCAGTCAAGACTTCCAACTGACGGGAAATGATTATATATATATATATATATATATACAGGATTTACCTATTTAGTTAGTTTTATATTTAAAATGTAACATTTATTTTGAAATAAATTATTATTATTATATATATATATATATATATATATATATATATATATATATACACAGCAAAAGAGATAAATAATATAGAATGATAATTTATTTACAAAAGCACAAAAAAAAACAAATATAATACACAGTAAAAGAGATAAAAGAAAGAAAATAGAAAAGCACAAAACAAAAAAAAAAAAATATATACAGTTTCCTGTTAAAATGCCACCTTTTAAAATACAAATAGTTTTAGTGATACTATAGTTACATGTAATATTATAATTGCAAATAGGAGTAATTCTCTTATCTATATATAGGTAGGTGTACACTTTTTAGAAATTAATACATATTTTTTGGCGCTGATTAATTCGGCTCCAACTATTGTTTAATGCTCCAATATGAATTTGCATTACTCGTCAGTTAAAAAAAAAAATTTAAAACTAAACTAGAACAAAAAAGAAAACGAAATCTAATATTGTATTTCACTTTCAGGTTTTATACATTTAAAACCTCTGCCAACTCTTATTATAACCTAGTTATTACTTTCTCTGTCTGTGGCAGATATATATATATTTTTTTATTTCAGCAATTTTGAGGTTATCACTTTTTATTTAATGAATTGATATTTATTGAAATCTATTTTTCAATTGGTTTTAATTTTGCCACATAATTTAATAAGCTTTAAAATAATGTTCAGCGTATTTCTATATAGTGTGTATTTTTATTAGATGACCGCACACTATGCGAATCTATAAACCCCGTGGAATAACAAGAGGACAAATTGCTTTGGTCACAATTTTGGGAGTATTTGGTGGAGTATATATCTGGAAACCGCTCTTTGAAGAACATTATCCGAGACAGAAGAAACAAGTAGCGGAAGTTATAGAAACTGAAACGCATTAAGCATGGGAAAATTTAAGATCTCGAGTGCCACTCCATTGTCGAAAACTTTTATGGCTATATCTGTAACAACTGCTTTAGTGATATGTCATAGATGGTTTTATGCACCATATGTGAAAAAACAAAGGTATAGACAGGCTGAAGAATGGGCTAATATGATTATAGAACAAGAAGAAAGAGAGGAAGCTGAACGGATTAATAGTTCTTATTAGTTTATTATAATGTAAATAGTAGAAAGTAATAAAATAAATAGTAATTGTAATATATTTATTTATTTGTATTTTAAAACTTAATTTTACATTAATTGGAAAATTTTATATAGTGAACACTACACTTATTACTTTAATATTAATTTTTATTTAACTCTATTACAACAAAAACAAAAATATGCATTGGTAAATTAGAAAATTGAATTACACATCAACTCTATAAACAAGTAATACTTAAAATATATAAATTACTTATATACCTAGATAAAGACCTATTTATTATTTTGAAATACTTCAAACAAATGTATAAGAGACTTAATAACAAATTCCTGTTTGGTTACTATATTATACTATATATTTTTATATGCAACTGAGAATGGCAAACATATATACTTCATTGAAAGTGGTAACCATTGCTTATAGATATAAACAGTACAATGGACATAACATAGTATATTGTGTTGCCTATAATACCCCTCATCTGTTGCTATTCCTAAGGACTAACATGTTATGCCACTGTACTTTGTAATTTCATTGCCATATTCCACCCTTCAGACCACAATAGCTATACAAACACAAATGGGAAAGAGGTACCTAAGCTGATAACTTTTTTTTACAAATTCTCCCTTTGGTTATACTTAGGATGTTTACATCCAGAAATAAAGAATCACTGCTAGATAATAGGAACCGCTGCCTGATCAATAGCTAATAATTTATGTTACAGTTTTTTTAATGTCATCCTATCCATCCTTAAATTGAGGGGTACCATGAACATCCTATCCTATTGGCTTGCTTGAACAACACAGGACATTTCTCCTGTGTTATTTATGTCTAATCTAACCTAACTAAACTCACCATTAAGGGTAATTTTTTCCGTGGGAAAAAAGGGGCAGGGGGAAGGGGTATAAGAACAATAGTTTCAGACTAGAATTTACTACAGGGGAGGAATTGTTTGTAATGAGTACAGTGGACCCGTTACCAGCAATATACAACATCAAGACCTTTATGTGGTCCCACTGGAAACATATTTAATTCTTGCCTACATTGTAACCTTTAAGAAAAGAGCATAATTATTTCTTTTTAAAAGACCAGTAGTACACCTGCAGTTCCTTCGATCTTGCGGGTGATTCTGAGCGGTGGTAATCTTTTGCCATCAGGTGAGCCGCATGCTCGTTTACTCCCTGTGTTATAAAAAATTCTATTTTCATCTCTATTAAAAAAAATAAAAACGAATTTACGATTTTATTCCCCAAAATAGAAAACCTTACAGAATACAAATAAAATTTTGTTCCCAAAAAAAAAAACAAACTTCAGTTGTGACGAAATCAATTATTTCGTATATTACTAAACTATTGAACCGATTTTATTTTTTTATTATTATTTTATTTGACAAAAAAACAAAGTTACAAACAAGATGCAATGGGCCTCACACTAGGCGAACCTGTATCGTGTGCACCCGACAAAGATTAACAAATCACAAATGTGTTATAATAAAATGTACATAGTGGGCGAGTATTAATATAAAATTAAAATTGAAATAGTGAAAAAAGTAATAAAATCAACAATATAGATACAGAAGCAATTATAAAACACTAATAATATATTCCCTTAAGAGAAGCGAAGTTGAGTAAATGAATGTGGGAATGTTCGTGAGTATGTGTGAATGTGTGTTGTGTAATCCAAATCCATTTACAACTGACAGAGTTATAAGGTTTTTAACATCATCAACTCGGTACTGAACTAACGAAGATTAGTCATTTGAAGGCGTTCATTAGCTTAAGGTTATTTTTAAGAGAGGGAGTGTTTCTGGTGCTGGCCTCTTTAAAAATACATGTAAATATTTTAACCTGTGATTATGTTACCTGCATTCTACACTAACATAATATTATGCGTACCTATATTCGGTTCGTCATCCGTCAGGAACTCCCCGGATTTGTACTAGTTTAAAGGGCGTCCGGCAAGGGTTTTTGAAAAGTTAGACTTTTGTTGTCAGGGGAAATCCAAAAGTAGGCAATCAATTGAAATAAATATAAGTTACAAATTCATCCAAATTAACCCGCATTCAAGAAGGCTTTGTAAAATAGTTGACGACTGAACGCCCCCACTGTTTTCTGAATATTTTTTCAGAAGTGTCCGGGTAAAAAACCATATTTCACCCAAAATTCGTCCGAGATTTTTGCCGTGTTTATCCGGTGTCAATAATTTAAGCGATGGTAGCCCTATGTAAATAGGTATCATCTCCCTACTTGTTCCACTTTCTCCAACAAGATATTGCTACATTCTATTCTACACTGACATATGATATTGTTATTGTTGCTTTGTACTTAGTTGTCACGGTTCTCGGCGAACACTTGTTGCTTATTTAATTTGTATCAACTTATTAATTTAGAGAACTGTGGGCAAAGACGTGTCTTAGATTACATATGGGCCTCTTTTAAGGGACCAGGCCTCATCTGGAAAAAATTAAAAATCTGGAAAATTCTTATGGCGGAAAGGGATTGTTAATAATGGAATCATACAATCCCATCGTTTACAATGTCAGTTCGACCTCCACGCGATTGCCCCGGAAACCAGAGTGGTTAATTCTTGAATTAATTACAATGGACTTACTGACCTGCTTTCATTCTCACCTATCATCACTCACTGGTGTCCCGCCATTCACTACTGATAACGGAGGCGAGTTTTCACCTATAAAAAAGACCTTACGGCTATAGATATAGAAGAGGTTTATGTTCAGCAATGGACAACTATAGTCTGAAATGATTATCACTAGTACTAGGTATATGATCCATGTGATATTGTATAATTGTACTTACTTATCCTAGACCGTAAATTTCAGGGTCAAAACGAAAAGTAATCCCATAAAAACTGTCTATGATAATCTTAATGACTGAATTAAGAATAATAAATCCTAAACAATACTATAAGAATAAAGACTAGGTTATTTACTCTTATACTACTACCTTACTATTTTAAAGCCGGTTCTGATAATGATATAGAAGTTACACCAGTACCTAGTTTATAATTGATGGATTGATAATTGTATAAAGATGGTAATATACCTATGTTCTACATATTATGGTAGTTCAATAACCTCTCCGGAGTAGCTATTTACTTCGTGACAGTTTTTAATAAATTCGTCTGATCTCCCTCCTGCCATACGTTTCTGATATATTGATGTACTTTGCATAGGTAATCTTTTATTATTATTACCTAAGTACTAAGAGCTGTACATTAATATTTAGTAAGTAATCAATCAGGCAAGTACTAGAAATGTGTAGGTAACTAAGTTAGCATACCTAATATCAGCTAACAGATTTTTTTTAAATAAACATGATTGGTTTTTGTAAATTAAAATTATGAAACAAATTGAGAAAATACCATAAACTCGATCCCAATCTCGACTTACAATACAGGGCTTAGGATTCAAATATTTTTAGAAAAAAAATATATACATAATACATACCACCTTCCTGAATATCAAGCTTGATTAATTGATATACAATACAACGATGTTGACTGTCGATAAATATGGAAAAAACCAACCAAGCACGTACTGGTTAGCACATGACGTAGGGTTCTGTAGATAAGGACCACAAGAAAATAATGAAAGGCAAATTGATTCTTGATTTATTTATATTCACATCCATATCACAGGGGATAAAATTATATATGTAGATACTTAACGTCTTATAATAAACACAAGAGCAAATTATCGGATTTTTCCGTTACGGAATTTTAACTTAGTAACCTATGAGTTATTACAGCAAACTTTTCAATTAAAAGGAGTCATCAAAATTAATATTTTCAAAAATTTACAGCAAAATTGTTAGTTTATGAATTCTTTAAATTTGTTGTAAATTAATAGATATTCTTTATATTATTGTATATTAATAGTAAATTTTTTTCACGTGGGAGTCTGCGCGAAGACATAAATATAGCTTTTAACCATACTTAAAAACAATAGTTAAATTTGTCTCACTTGGTTTAGAATAAATAAGGTACCTACCTTAATAATGAATAACAATAAGTTAATAAATAGGTATTTATTAACTTGATTTTATAATATTAAATTGACATAATTTTTATTGCAATTAGGTAGGTATGAGATTTTAGATTTTTCCTAATATTCTGAACAATGAGACCAATTCTGAATCACCTTTACGTGATAGCTCGATAAGTGGACTAAACGATTTTAGATGCTTGCACATAGAGCAATAAATTTTCCAAAAGGCGGGAGACTAAAAACTTTGTTAAGCAGTTGTACTTTATGGCCGTTTCGGTTTAAAATGGTGCAGTCAAATCATAAAATATGAAATATACCATCTTAATTGGTTATATGGTAACAATCATGTCTGCGATGTTCATGATTAGGCGACATTATGTAGTATATATATATGTAGACAGTATGTATTAGTTCATGATTAGTTGGCAGGGGAAAGGAATTGTTAGTAACGCGGATTACAAGTTCCATTGCCAACAATATATCCTAACAGGTCGACCTCCCCGTGATCCCCCCCTGAAAACCATCGTGCCACCAATTTCAAGTGTATTCGTCACGATGGGCTAACTGACCTGCCTTTTCATTCTCACTTATGGCCCGCCAGCGTATACCGTTAGCGCAGGCGAGGTTACCATTCCATTAAAAAAAAAACTTCATCCGTAGCCTTCAGCTACAAGTACATTATTATTACTTAGTACGCGTGTATTTCAGTAGAAAAAGTAATAAACCATTTTTAAAGAGCGTGTCAAGATAAAACGCACGAGATTTTATGATAGATCTTCAGGAATACAACAGTGAAAACTGTATCAAATTTGATGCAGTAGATTTTATGTGATGACGGTATACATTAAATTTCAAAAAAAATGTTTTGGCTTTATTGCTCTTATATTTACTCTTCATTACAACAGTTGAATAGATTTAGTGAATGGATGTTATATCCTAACACAAGATGTAGTAATCACTATTAAAAAACCTAACTGGTTTTTTTTTTAAATGGATGATAATGGAATGGTAATCCCGTCTGCGGTAACGGTATACCAGTGAGGGATTATAAGTGAGAATGTAGAGGCAGGTCAGTTCGCCTATCGTGATGAATTCATTGGGAATAGAACACGAGTTTTCAAGGGGAACCGCGAAGTCAAGCTGATGGGGTGTATTGCTAGTAATGGGGCTACTGATCCCAATTATAAACAATCCCTTTTTCCCCCACCTAACTGGGTTGCTAAGTCGCTTGCTAAGCATGGCAACTACTGGAAAAACCTCTCAAGGAGGGTTATGTTCAGCAGTAGACAGAGTTGATAAAAGGATGATTTTGTTTAAATTTTTGACGTATTCATTTGCATTGCTTACAGCACAGGATTAAAAGAAATATAAAAACAAAAATAATATAAATACAAAAAGAAAATAATCAAAGTAAGCATTTTTTTTCCTATCATATTGTGTGGCATAATAACAAAAAATATCTATGAGAAAGGGGAAATAAAAAACAAGTATATTTTTATTATTGGAGGCTACGTTTATTCTATGAATTTTTACATTTTAGTTGCAGTCATAACAAAATATTTCAGATATATGTATAACCTTATAAATTATAAAATAATGTTACATACATTATAAGCCTTGTAAAAAATATAGAAAAGGAATGAGATGTAGCCCTTTTTTCCTTCTGAACACCTTTCGGTGAATGAAGTATCGCAGTTGTATGAAAAATTGTGCTGTTAACAGTGCTAGCTACTTCTTGCCCTTGGTGGCCTTTTCGGCGGCTTTGGTGACCTTGCCACCGCCAGCCTCCTTGAAGTTGACAGCCTTGATGACACCTACAGCAACTGTTTGCCTCATGTCACGGACAGCAAAACGTCCGAGGGGTGGGAACTCTTGGAAGGATTCCACACACAAGGGCTTGGATGGAACTAAGTTAACAATAGCTGCATCACCAGACTTAATGGATTTAGGGTTATCTTCAGTAGATTTACCAGTACGACGGTCAACCTTTTCTTTGATTTCGGCAAATTTGCAAGCAATGTGGGCTGTGTGGCAATCAAGTACAGGTGTGTATCCATTTGAAATTTGTCCAGGGTGATTGAGTACAATAACTTGTGCAGTGAAGTCTGCAGCTCCCTTGGGAGGATTGTTCTTTGAGTCACCAGCAACATAACCACGGCGCAACTCCTTAACAGAGACGTTCTTTACGTTGAAACCAACATTGTCACCAGGAACAGCCTCTTGGAGAGCTTCGTGGTGCATCTCCACAGACTTAACTTCAGTTGTAATGTTAGCAGGAGCAAAGACAACAATGGTACCAGGCTTGAGAACACCAGTCTCAACACGTCCCACGGGCACTGTACCAATACCACCAATTTTGTAGACGTCCTGGAGGGGTAGACGAAGGGGCTTGTCTGTGGGGCGGGCTGGGGGTAAGATGGCATCAAGAGCCTCAATGAGGCACTTACCTTCAGCCTTGCCCTCTTTACGCTCAACATTCCATCCCTTGAACCAGGGCATTTTTGTAGATGGCTCAAGCATGTTATCTCCGTGCCATCCAGAAATAGGGACGAAAGGAACAGCAACTGGGTTATAACCAATCTTCTTGATGTAGCTGCTTACTTCTTTCTTGATTTCTTCGTAGCGGTTCTCGCTGTAAGGTGGTTCGGTTGAGTCCATTTTGTTGACACCGACAATCAGTTGCTTGACACCCAAAGTATAAGCCAATAGGGCGTGCTCGCGGGTCTGTCCATTCTTGGAGATACCAGCTTCGAACTCACCGACACCACCAGCAACGATCAACACGGCGCAATCGGCTTGCGATGTTCCTGTAATCATGTTCTTGATGAAATCGCGATGTCCGGGGGCATCGATGATGGTGACGTAGAACTTGGCGGTCTCGAACTTCCATAGGGCGATATCGATGGTGATACCACGCTCGCGCTCAGCCTTGAGTTTGTCCAACACCCAGGCGTACTTGAAGGAACCCTTACCCATTTCCTGGGCTTCCTTCTCGAACTTCTCGATGGTACGCTTGTCAATACCACCGCACTTGTAGATCAAGTGACCGGTAGTGGTCGACTTGCCAGAGTCGACGTGACCAATAACGACGATGTTGATGTGAGTCTTTTCCTTTCCCATGTTGGGTTAGTCTAGAACAAAATAAAAAAGAATATTAATTTATTGTTATTATTGTAATGTTGATTGGTATAGCACCGGCATCGGCAAGGTCGATGCAAACTCATGTACGGTGAGGCCGGCAATATGGCGGCCGCATGGCCGCCTCGCCCTATCTTGACATTTCACAATGGATGTCAGCCATTACACTAAATGCGTGGAAAATTGTAATTAATTTCAGAAATTTCGCTAAAAATAAGACATAAACCATTAAATTAACATTGCAATAGATTCATTTCTATAGAAATATGTAAAACAAGAAGATTAAACACCACGTGGTAGTGACTGAGCAATGAGCCGGTCTCTGCATCGTGTGATTTGTGTGACGCGTAAGCACATCGTGGAACTTTTGAAATTGGAATATTTTCTAAGAGAACTGTAATATTAATTAACAGAAACAAATGCAAAGCAAATTACTATTTTAAATGATAATTAAATATCTAAAAACTAGACATCCAGTAAAAAAAATATTACACCACAATAATAAAGATTGGGAATATGATATTATTTAAAAAACGTATGATACTAACACGTTAAAAAAATACTAAAATATTATTAAGTTCACTTTTTAACACTGCACTTAAATTCTTCTGACACTCACCACGGATTACAATCAGCGTGTAATTGCCGAGAAAGACTCCAACAGAATGGACGAGAAATGGTTTTTCTTTCAGCTGGAAGTAAAAGAGTCATTTCCGGTATCCAGTGTAGCCATAGCATATTTTTTATTTCCCATTTTTTTTACTCTGTATTATATTGTGATTTTAGTAGAGAATTCGCACTACTTCCTGATATAAATAAAAATAATCAAAAATAGTAAAATAGTACCTTATTAGATGGACGCAGTTCCTCTTTGTGGTATTCGCTATATTTTACTTGTAGTGCAACTTACCTATCACTACACGTGCTGTAAAGTTATGACGTGATAAATTCAATTTGAAAATTTCGTTAAAGTACTATTTAATTAAATTGTGTTCCACAAAGAAAATCGACTTCAATTCTAGCAAAATTAGTTATTACTGAACCGATTTTAATTAAATCTCTATTACACCAATCTGTATGTATATCCTTTCAAATAAAAAAAGAATCTTCATTTTTGAATCGGTTTATAACTGACTGAGTTATGAAGTAAAAATAATGAAAAAATATATAATTGAAAACTTCCTCCTTTTTGATGTCGGTTGAAAATACAAATAACAAGCTGTTGCCCGCAGCTTCGCTCGCGTTTAAGTAAGGAAATGTGATTCTGTGTAAGTCTGTGATTTTTAAAATAAGAAGCAAGAAATTTCGTCTTGGTTTGATATTTTTACTTTTCTTTTATTATACAGAGTGTTATTTTAATTAACCTGCTAAAGCAATACTTTTTATTTATATGAATTTTACTATGCCAGTGAAGTTTGTAAACAGTTGACAAATTTCTTGTACCTAGAAGTAGTACCAAAAAGTAAATTTGAAGCAGATCAGCCTATCTTTTTTTATATTGATATTTTCATCCTATTTTTCCGTTAATCATTGAATTTCTAGAAACGACGAAAGTTGTATATATTTATTTTTACTGAAAAACTTTAATAATAAATTTCATTCTTCTTATTTCGAAAATGATTTTTAACCAGAAACTTGTATATGAAATTTCATGCTTCTAACTTTGAAAAGATCGGCTTTTCATATAACCGTTTATCCCTTATTTTATTTTTAGGGGTAATAATTTCTTTTTCATATATAATATTGAACAAAACACGATACATGTTCCGGATCACCGCTTTCATAAATAAACTGTAAATAGTTTATAATATTAATATTCTCTTAATAGAAATAGTTAACAATATTTTAATATTTTATGAAAGGATAGTTTCGAATAGTTTATAACAATAACGTTTGTGTTTATAAAATAATTCATAGAATAGTTTATAGTTTCGTAAAATGATTTTGTAAAATAGTGATAGAGACAGAAAAAATAGATAAAGATAGCTGATATACATTTATAGTGATTGGCTACTAACCTAACCTAATCTCGTATCAGGTTGGGAATAGTGATTTGAATGAGTACAAATTTTATAGCTTATAACTTTAATCGTATTTTTTATATGTTAATTGAATAAATATAATAATAAATGGATGATAAATACAAAATATATAGTGAATAGTACCCGATAGTAATAGTTTATAGCATAAGCATAGAATAAGTTAAGAAAAATAAAGTTTTTCTTTTATTGTGTTTTACTTTCCCAGAAATATAGCATAAGCATAGAATAAGTTAAGAAAAATAAAGTTTTTTTCTTATTGTGTTTTACTTTCCCAGAAAAATAGTTGTAACAGCAAAAATAGACTAGTACAGCAAATAGGCCCCAATTGGGGCAAATTCCTGAAAAACAGGAAAATAGTTAACAGAATTTAAATAAGCCATAATAGGGCCTATAATAGGTTATATAGGTGTCAAATAGATACAATAGATAAATATAGCATAGAATTGTACCTAGAAATAGGAAAAACATTGTAATGTGCGTTGCGCGGTAGTTCTCCATCGACTGACTCGCGGCCCCGCTCTCTGCAAAATATATTTAGGAAGGAGAATGGGGTCATATAAAAGCCGCGACTCGCGGAATCGCAATTTTTTGTAAACCGCACGCCGCGGAGCGCACAAAGTATGATACAAAGGTTGTTTATAAGAATGTCCACCACCTAGAGTAAGTCCTGTGTCGAAACCTGTAAGAATAGTAATAGTAGAATAAAAATGCATAGAGGGGGTGAGGAGACTAGTTTGCCGCTGGTCCGATGGCCAGCGGCCATAGTAGCGTATAAAAATAGGGCCAAAATTCATAGCGCCAGTGACCTCTTAAGAGAGCGAACAACAACAGCAAGAAATCGCGAAAACAGTCTGCTCAACTCACCATAGTTGAAGAATCATTCGCTTCATTTCATTTCATCTCATCGAGCCCCATCGCCATCTCCGTCTTTCGATCTTCACATCACCCATCATCGTGTTCGTCGTCGTCCTTCTAAGGACGACATATAGTGGTGCTGTAGCACCTGGTCCTGCACACAACGCGCCTGCGGCGAAGACTGAAGCCTTTCTGTGCGCCCACTGTGCAAAGTACTCTCTTTTCTCGAGTAAGATAGGTCGACGTCCGGGCGTACCAGCGCCCCGGTGGCTGCCGACTCGCCTTCCGACACTCGGAGGCAGCGACCTGCACATCACAAGTGGCGAAAGAAACTGCATATCAATTAGTTGTACAGTTTTTTTTCGAATACAAGCAGATTTCGTCCTTCGACGAAATACAGGTCGTGTGAAATAGACGAAGTGACATTACGCACTGGGCTGTTGTAAGGAAAGCTATTATTTTTTCAAGTGCAACTTTCAAATCCTATATCTTTCTCATTTGTAGAGATAATTGAATGTTTCTTTCAGATATTTGTTTAATTCTACTTATATTTTTATAATTTATTAAAAAAATTTAGGCTTCCTGAAAAATAATTTCATAAACGCCAATGATTCTTGATCTCATTTAATTTTTTTGTAAGATCATCAAACAGCTTTGGCACTTATAAATGACTTCGAAAAAGAGGAGGTTTTAAGTTTCACTGCATTTTTGTTTGCATATGCTTTTTCCAATTCAGCTGATTTTTATTACTAATAATTCATTTTTATGGTAGATCAGATATCTCAGCTTTAGTGTAATGTTGATGAAAAGATAATCTAATGTAAAAGCAAATCTACGTTTGGCTTTTTGGGTTGCTCATTTAAAACATCAATAGACGAAAGACTGGCTGACATTAAGTTACTCATCTTAATATCAGCCGGTCTCAAGATAGAAGAAGATAGAACAGAAGAAGAGAAATCATAAAGCACCAACTTCACTCAGAAAATAAGCTATGATGACATAGACCTAAACTCCTAGATAAGTGGCAAACAAATCCATCGATTGATAGCTTTGATAGTTACTCGTATAAGAAAGATCATGAAACGTTTAGCTATTCAGCTATTTAAAATACTTGTTTAGATAGCTAAATAGCTGAATTCGACCAAAGTTTTGTTTATTAAATCAATATATATATTGTAATTATTTATGTCAACTTAACTCAAGAGTTCAGTTCGAGGATGCTTAACTAGTTTCTAATTTATTCATGTAGCTGTATCACGAGCAACACTGCGTAACTAATTTGCTGTTTCTTTATTATTTATTTATTTATTTATTTACAGGATTACCAACATAAGATACAGCTACAATAAAGCTAAGTTTTAATACAATACACTGGCAGCTCAGATCTCACCGTTCTTACATTTATAGGCAACCACAGCATGCCTTGTGTTTGACAAACATTAAAATATAATTAAATTATTAAATGAGTAAAGATATTAACAATATGAATAATAATATAATATAAATAATGGAAATTGTATTCAAATTATTATAAAATATAAATAAATATAATGTAATGGGGAGGTATATCAACACTTTAATTTAGTCATGAATACAGAGTGACTATCGCAGTTAAATTCAGACAATATCGTTATACAGACGCGTTATGCGGACGATAGGTGATTCGCGACCCAAGTTTGTTCGGCAAGCTGCATTTTTAAATATTATATATTAAATATTATTTGTGTACCTATGTATATTGTTAAGCGCGTATTAAATATTGTTCCTTCTTTGAATTAACATAGAAATATGTCACGTATATTATAATTCTCCCTATAAATGTAAAATATTTTTTATGTTAGCAACACTAAAGCGGATGTTACGTCAGCAAGTATTTAATTTCTTTAATGATTCACAGATTACTAAATCACATGTTACACAGATCACAAAATACAAAATGAATCATTTCTCTCTATCTATGTGAAAATTGTTGAGATCATTTTTACTTATATTACACAAGTGGTGCAATAGATATTAAAGAAAGAACTTTAAAATTATTGAGAAATAAGAATGCCTACGTTTATGCAATAATTTTTTACTTGTAAATAATTATAAATTTTTTATTATAAAAAATATTGGTGGTTAAAAATAAGCCGAATAAGAAGAAGTAGATACTTATTTTATTTATGTATCTGATTGGACCTGTAAACTATATATATTTAATGAATGACAAAAAAGTCTAGTTATAATTTGTTATTGTCATTTTTTTTGCAAATTTTATGAATTAAGTTTTGAATAACGAACGAAATAAAAACACTACCCTTGAATATATTTAAAAAGAAACTGAAAAGATGGCTAATAGAAAAATGCTTCTACTCGGTTAATGAATATTTTGAATATTTTAAAGCTTAAATATGTGACTCAATTAATGTAATTTGTAATTTGTCAAATGATTGTAATTTGTAATCTGTATAATTTATTATTAATACTGACATTTATTTAATATATATATATAGTATTAATAGTACAGTGGAACAATTAAATAATTTTGTACCAGTTAAAAATTTCAATATTTAAATATTATATTCCATCTTTTATACCATTTTTCAAACAAAATAAAGTTATTTGTATTTGTATTTGTATTTTTTTGAACGAGTATAGTATCCTACATGTCAAAATTTAGAACATCCCCCCGTACCGCATCCCACCCAACATAATTCCATTTTCCGAAATGGAAATGCGAAACAAATGAAAATAATAATTTAATATAAATTTATTGTAATAAAACTAAATTTGTTTATGAAGTATTTAAAAATGGAAGTGACGAATTAACACATACAAAGTTTTATATGGAAAGAATACATTAACATTTTATCAGTATGTTCAAGAGCCGAGGTGATATTGTTTATAAATGCACAGTGCGACTTTTAGAAGATACAGAGATTTTAGAATGCGAGTTCCATGTGAGTGCAAATTATTATAAAGTTAACATCAACAATTTATAATATTTTTCAACATTTATTAAATTTTTTAAATCCACACGATTTATTCTTTACACACAAATTCTCAAAATTTCCGTTCATTTCAATTTCTGTACATTCAATAATTAACTTTTATTTAATGTTATGAGTCGTCTTTATAGATAACACAAGATTATACATAAAATATTATATGATTTAAAAGAGCTTTAAATTGATACTTTATGCTTGTTTGTCTAATAGATGATTAGATTTTTTTAGTAACCTCTCACTAAATATCTAAGACTACTTAAGTTGACGAACGTTACAATTTCATCTTTTAAAAAGCAAAGTGTGCCATGCTAACCTCATAAAAATTAATATATGAATTTACACAAGGAAATCAGTTTGTCAGGCATATCTTCACTTATAGAGAATATTGTAGATGTACTTAAAAATTTAATTACAATTCTTGTAAAATTATGATTATAATGAACTAGCTTTTACCTATTTTTTGTCTGTGTACCCAGATTATGTTCACTGACCAGATTAAAAAGTAGTTTATCACATATAGTATGTGTATACTTAAAATTTGGTGCTATAAAATAACAAACAAGCACTCATCTTCAGCTTTATAATATTTATGGTGATATGATGATAACAAAGAAAAAATTGTAAATCCCAATTTGTCATAAAACCATTAAAAATTGATTTCTCAACCTATGCCAGCAATATAAGCTATTGGCATTGTTAGTTTTGGTCACATCGTTTACTATATAAGACATTAAATTGGCTACATTCCACCTACAAAGATTGATAGCAATTTTCGAGTGATTCTTGGTTATCAAAACTAGATTGCAAGCTACATAGTCACAACGCCATGTGATTCCAGCATAGAATAGGTCACCCCTTCCTTTCCTGTTGGTGTCATAAAAGGTATCTAAACCAAGGTTAGGGATGGGTAGCAGCAACCATTTTAAAACATCTCTAAAGTTAATTGTGGTTGTGAATCTGCCTGCCAAGGATAGTAACTGTAACATACTGGTAAAACACTCCGAGAGGTGGCTAATGTTCAGCAGTGGACAGTTAAAGGCAGATATAATGATTCCACCAACTATTACAAACAAGAGTTACTTTAAGTTTATTGTTAGTTCTTCAATGCAGAGAATATTTTGAATTTGGCAGTAAAATTGTATTAGATCTTAGATATATTTAATAATCCCTGAATTATTTGTTTTACAGCCTAGTTACAAAGGAAAATATCTATTGGAGCATGTGTGTCAACAGCTGAATCTCACTGAGATAGATTATTTTGGCTTGCGGTATGTGGATGCAGGTGGTCAGAGGGTAAGTGATACTTGACTTTGTTTTTTGATATGATTTAACTTTAATAGAAAGAGTTTTTCTTTAAAAGAAGTTTTAACTTTAAAAGAAAGAGAATAATTGACTTCAAATGTGACAAAACCAGATATTTTCATTTAAAAATTACTAAACAGATTTTGATAAAATTTCAATGGGATTAATCTGTAAGAAGTCCTTTCAGATAACAAAAAGAATTTTCCAAATCAGTTTATAACTGATGGAGATAACAAAGTTAACAAACATAAAAAAATACAGTACTTCTCTTAAAGTTGAAAAAGATAAATTTTAAAACAAGTATATTAGTATTGGGAAAGAATAAATAGGCATATTGGTAAGGGCCATTCTCAACTAATATTGTTGAAATAGGTGACATTTGAAAGAGGGATTTATTGTTACTATCATTATTACTATGGACTAAACTGTCTTTCAAAAAAAGCGTTCACGCTCACTTTTTATTTTTATCCCAGCAGTAAGTACTTTAAATTATCCTCATTTTCTTGTATAATATAGTATATGTTATATATGTGTAAGTATATTTGTTATTTATATATATTTATTTGTTTATATATGTAATTTTAGTATGTATGTATATCAATAATTACTAGTACCGCATTTGAGTATTCTGACACTTCCCTATGGTTGACTGGGAGAGAATGCTTTTAGCATTATGTCCGCCATGTACACATATTTGTACTAATGAATAAATAAAATAAAATAAAATAATTATATTTTTATGAATATAATTATGAAACAAACTAGATTTACTTTAAGCTAGGTATATATGTATCCTTATCTATATCTTTGGATCCTGTATTTGAATTCTAGACTGTAATACTGCTATCCTCTTTATTGCAAGAAAAGATTATTTCATTGAGATGCTAATTATGCTCATGCTGAGAAAATGGAGGGCTTCTGATCTGTTGTATAATTGTACAATTAAAGTTCTATCTAAAGTTCAAAGCAGAAACTTTTTTAATTTCACTTAAGTATAATTTGTATATATATATATATATAAACTATAGTATTAAGAAATTTACTAGTATACAGAATTTTATATAGAACTCATTGTTGGTTCTCTTAAAATTATATAAATTAGATATGTAGAAAAAAATATAAGAATTATAAGTAAGATAAAGAAGTAATAAGGCCTAATTTGTCTATAATAGATTGCTATTATTCTATGTAATATTAGATAGAAAGGAAGACATTGAACTGTATTTTATTTATGATTACATATAACTCTACTTATATTATTTCCTTTTTTATATTTCTAGCACTGGCTGCACATGGCGAAGTTAATACTAAAACAAGTAAAAGGTTTGTAATATATTCATATTCATTTTTGAGTACAAACATTGCCATTTTAAATATGTTAATATAACTGTATACAAATCTGAATAAATTGTGCCTAATAGCACACCTATGTTCGATTGTAGAACCGAAAGGAGATGAATACTATTTTGTTTAGTTATATTTGTGGGAATTTACTCACATAATTAGGACATATTAGTCAATAAAAAGTAACATTTATTTTCCGAGTTAGTTGGGCTTTTAAGGTGTTAGGAGATAACAAACACTTTCCAATGTTATAATATTAGTAAGGATGATTTAAATAAATTATAATAATTAGTAATTGACTATTTCAAACTTGGATTATAAAAAGTGACAAGAAGATACAATTCAGTAATCAATTTTATCAATTTTTGCACTGTATTGGAAACTTATTTTAATAATATTTTTATTAACTATATTCTGTGGCTTTATTTATTACGCCATAATATAATAATTTGGATAAAAGTAAGTGAATAATTATAATATTTGTGATGGATTAGTCTTAGAAGACCATTTTACCTAAGTAATAATGATTCATTTTGTATAATCCGCTAATGAATCCAATAGTTCCTTATTATTACCCTTTTTGGGGTAAGCAAAGATAATTGAAAGCCAAAGTGAATCGTTAATATTGTTTTATTCACTTTCAAGCCAGTTCTATCTTGACTTTAGATAATTTTGTATTTATTTCAGATGCATCACCAATACTCTTCAGTTTCCGTGTAAAGTTCTATCCACCCAATCCATTGCTACTGAAGGAGGATGTGACTAGGTTTCAGATATATTTGCAATTAAAGAGAGACTTATTGCATGGCAGACTCTATTGTACGGCCAATGAGGCCGCCATGTTGGGCGCACTTATTATACAAAGTATGTCAAATTTTAATTAAATGTTTAAATAATTGATAAAAACATTGACAACAAACCAAATTAATCCGAGTGGCGGCGGTTGGGTCCTCTCTTGCCACATTAGGTTTTGACAAATTCGTCACAATGGCGAAATTGTCACTATGACAAAACGACATCAAAAAGTACTAGAATTAACACTAGCGCAAATGGAAGATATTTATCAATGCCGATTTTGGTATTGTTACTTGATAAGTGTGACAATATTGTCACTACTGTCTTATATTTAAGTATTTTAACATGCTTACATGCGTGGAGATATTTAAAGCATTATATTTATTAACATAACCTAATCATATTTACTTCAATGCTAGCATGCTTGGATGATATTTCTGAATTATGTCTCAAATAAAAATTTATTATGTAGGATAATAGGTTTTCATAGTAATTCAACTACGTAATCCTAACTTTACATATATATGATATATTCTTTAGCAATATAAAGGTTGTAAGCCTCTTGGTAATAAACAGAAATGAAGCACAAGTTCTCACAGTTCATTTAATTTATATATCATATTATTAAATCATATATTTACTTATTTTACTTTGTATTTGATATATAATAAATAATCAAACATAAATACTCAACTTCTGTTAATCCATTGACACTTATTTAACTATAGTTTCTTTAGGACTTCCATCAACAATAATTGTCATATATTTTATATAATGACCACGTGGTTTACTATACTTGTTCACTCTTGATACATCAGGGAGCACCACTCTGTTCAACGATTGGACAAGAAGTGTCTCCCCACCCAAGTAACGTCTTAACGTCATAAAATCTTTTATATCCACACGGCCGAATTCGAAGTAAACAAGTCAGCAAGACCACGTGTTCTTACAGTTTCATTACTTTTTATTCAAGTATCATGATAATAAATTATTATAAAATCAATTAAAATATAAATTAGTGTTTTATATACATTACAAGAATAATTTATTCCAAATTTAGTATAATAACAATTTTAATATTTTTTTATATTTAAAGTAGTTAGTTTGATTTTTATTAATAAATGTAGGGACATATTTTGACACAAAATGTTTAAGAAAATAAATATAATTAAAAATAAATATTTAACACGTGTATTTCATTATATTTGCTTTATTACAGTGACGAAAATGTCACAGTGACATTTGAGTATATATACATTTTTATATTTTCAGTCGAATTAGGAGATTACGACCCCAGTATTCACGTTGGTAATTACGTGACTGAAATGAGGCTGTTACTTAGACAAACTGATGTAATCGAAGCTAGAATACAGGTAATTTTTAAGTTAATTATTTTAAGTAAATTACAGTCAGGTTGTATATATTATATCAGGATATTTATTAAATAAAAATAATATAATGGATACACATGTGTAACGAAAATGAAACCAAAAATAATTGTTTGTTTGCATAAATATAGGTATACTTATAAATTGAATGTTGTAGAAGTGTAGTGTGTTATGTTTCACCTGTTGAAGTTTTAATACTGGCTGTTGACATTGAGGTTTTTAGAACAATGTATTATTTTTAAGTTTGTTCTATGTCAGATTTTTATAAGACATGTCTATTTTTTCACTAAACTTATTATTTTATATCTCACTTACATGTTTTATTACTGTATCCTGCTATTTACAACATAACCATTGTAGAGGGTCACAGTGAAAGATAATATTCTTTAAAACAACAATATATATATAATACGTTTAGATACAAGACAAGACAACCATTTGAATAGAAAAAAAAACCGTGTAGAAAAATAATATCAACATATATATGTGGCCAGACTAAATTTACATCATGGCCACAAAGAAGTTTCAATATCACCACCATATGCTATACAAATGATTAATTATATAAAACATTAATTAATATAATAATAATAATTACTTTGTAAAATACAATTGCATTGTACAATAAAACATAACTATTACTCAGTACTCAATTAACTATACAATATTAATAAGTATTTAATTTTACATTCCAATAATTTACATATATGCACTCAAATTTTATTTATTTATCATTAAGAAATTCGTCAATACTATAATAAGTTTTCTCCAGTAAATATTTTTTTATAGTTACTTTAAATTCCTTTATATTATTAAATTAAAAGTAGTCTATATTATATTTTCCTAAATTGCTGGCTGTATTTTTATGAAATAAAAAATTATAATTTTAATGTATAATTATAATAATGTTTAATAGTTGATTAAATAGAAATATTATTAAGTAGGATATGTAAAAGGAGCAATAATTTTAATATATATATATATATATGTGTAAAACAATTGTTTAAATTGTTTGTGGTACATTTAATTTTGACAATAGATATTGTGTACGATGTACAGGAGTTGCACAGAGAGCCTGTGGCGGGCACCCCAGGCGGAACTGGGGGCGTCAAGGGCATGTCCACGCAAGAGGCTGAGCGGTCCTTCCTGAAAATCGCATGCCAGCTAGACACATATGGAGTGGACCCACATCCAGTCAAGGTGAGTGTTTAGTATACTTACTAACGATTTTAAATGTATTGTATTAAACGACTTTAATGGAATCTTGTAAATATGTATTGTTTGCTCAAATTTAAGATGAAAAAAAAAAAATTTATCTGATTGGTGGTGGTAGGGGTAAAACAATGTTTACCAGGGCAACTAGTAAAATTATAAATATGTAAGTTTGTAAGGATATTTCACGCTCAAAAGGCTAAATGGATTCTGTAAACAAATTGCCCTATATTCTAGACTGTCCTATATTATTGACTTATGTATAACAATATAATTACCAGAGGGAGACTTTGTATAAAAGTCGATTGCCTGGGGTACCTCTGTTCCATTCGTGTTTCTACCGTGAAGCAGTTGTGTTTGCATGGCTGTGTTTCGGTTTGAAGGGTGGGATATGGCGTGAATTTACAGGGTACAAAAGAATAACATCTGAGTCCTCAGGAATGGCAACGCATGGGGGGTATCATGGGCGAAACAGTATACTTTCTTATGTCCATGGTACTGCTCATGCCTATAGGCGACGGTTACCACTTTCCATCAGGTGGACCGCCAGCTTGTTTGCCATTCTAAGTTGAAAAAAAAATGCAAGTAATTGTACATTCTCATCTATTGAATGCTATATTTACATCTCACAAATGTTTATTAGGGCTATCTTAATTTGACATCTATCATTGATATTAATTATAATTATTATTCACACACTCAGGACCATAGAGGGAATCAACTGTATCTCGGCATCAACCACAGTGGCATTCTCACCTTCCAGGGCAGTAGGAAAACGCACCATTTCAAATGGTCCGAAGTGCATAAAATTAATTTCGAGGGGCGGATGTTTATAGTGCATCTTAATTATCCAGAAGTAAGTTATTTATGTTAATTATTAATATTTGTCACTGGTAATATGGAGTATTAAGATTGGATACTTGTTAATGCATTATAAAATTGTTATAAGATACCTCTCAACTTATAAAAAAAAACATTTTATTTGCTGAGCTAATTAATGTAATATATAATATAATAATAGCAACTCTTCCAAGTATTCATTATTAGTATTCTTTCAAGTGAAAATAAATAAATAAAAAATATATATTCAACAGGAATTCTGCAACAATTTTATTGTATTATTGTTATAAATTTCTTAACATTATATTTTAACTATTAAACTAATTGGGTTGACTTATTTACTAAAATACACTTAGTGGAGAATGCGCGACAAGTTATAATATAGAATCATGATTACATTTTAGTTTATCCGGTTAAAATTTTATTTTATTTTAATATATCTAGAATAATTAAAAAATATTATATTTACACATTAGCCAATTACAGATTCCCAATTTGTGTACCAGACAATATTATGTTTATTTCTGGAGGGTAGGTTAAATTAAATAGAAAAAAAAATCTCTTATTTATTATTTTTATTTCATATATTTAAACAACGATTGCAGAAAAAGCATACGGTCGGGTTCAAATGTCCCAGTGGAGCGTCGTGTCGGCATGTGTGGTGTTGCGCTATAGAGCAGATGTTGTTTTTCACGTGAGTACTAGCTGTAATGAAAAATTTAAATGATTTATTCATAAAAGACTTTCTATACGTCACTGTCCAATTGTAGTATGTATTATAATTCTGTTAATTACCTCTTTCTTTACAAGTTAATTGTGGCTTCATTCATTAGAGAACTGTTGCACCTTTTGCTATCCGCTGTAATGGAATTTGAGCAAAGATATTGCGAAACTAGTCACTTATGCACGAAACTAAATTTGTTATACAAAATAATTTCATAAAAGTAGTAATAATACATACCTATTTATATTTACAAATACTGCTTAAACTCAGTTTTATTAAAAATTTGGTTAACTCACGAAACTGTTTGTTTTGGTGGAGTGAAAGTGATTTCATGCTATGTTATGAGAGTTTTACATTTAATGAAATATTTCTAAAAAAAACTAGTTTTTCTGTTAAAAAAAAATTAATAAATGTTACCAATGTGGTGAATGTAACACTGGACATTTACTGTTTTATTCATAAAAACAAAAAATCTAAAAACCTTCATTAAGGATTGGAGTGATTTGTACACTCTCAGATTGAGAATTTATAGCTAAAAAAAAAAAAACAAAGACAAAACACTTCAATAGCTAAAAATATTAAACCTCTAATTAAGCTATATTACCGGTTTAATATTTTTATAAATAACGGCTTGGTGCGTGTGCGCAGGCTGCCGTCGTCGTCGGAGGCGTCGGTGTACTCAGGCGGCGGGTTGTTCTCGTGGGGCACCAAGTTCAAGTACGTGGGCCGCACCGAGCGCGAGATACTTGAGCGGGACGGCTTGCTTGCACCCAGGGAACCGCACGTGTGTACATCATCATCATTTTCTCCCCCATAGACTGCCATAAAGAACGGCCCTGAGCCTTCTGCATCCACTGACTCACTCCATCTAGTGGGGGTCGTCCTACACTGCGTTTACGCGTACGCAATCGCCACTCAAGAACCTTTCTTCCTCTTTGGTTGTCGGTTCTTCGAGCTATGTGACCAGCCTATTACGTGTACATACTCGTGTACATGGTCGCTCAATATTGTGAGTACAATTTGTCATTGTGACAATACCATCACATTTATCAATATGTATGTGTGTTCAACATATCAGTCTTTAACTGTCCACTGTTGAACATAAGCCTCCCCCTTTGAGGGGGTTTTGCCAGTAGTTGCCATGCTTGGCAAGCGGATTGGCAATTGCATTAAGGCTTTGGAGATGTTTTAAGAGGGACGCTGCTGCCCATCGCTCGCTCTCTCTTAGTCGCCTATTTTGACACCCACGGGAAAGGAAGAGGTGGTCTATTATTCTATAATGAAATGACAACAAACAAATGATTTAACAAATGATAATTTTGTTTATATTATAACATACATATAATCAATTACAAAATAAACAGACAGACAATTCTAAAAGTTATTGTTTTCACTTTTATTGTACTCTGTATATATTTTTTTCTTAAATATTATTTTATAAACGGACATTATATAGTTACAATTATTAATATTTGTGAATACGGTTTTACCAATATTTATTATATATATGTCTCGTCTTCTATACCGTATGAAGTCTTTGATCTTGGTAATGTAAGGACTTATTTTATTAACAGGAGGAGGGTTCGAGTACAGGTGGTAAAAGAAAAGCATCAAGTGTGCCGGCGACACCTTCCACTCCGATGACGAGTGATTTTGGTAAGTTATTATCATTAAGAATCTAATAATTAAAATGAAAATATAAAATACATTTACTAGGATTTAATGTTATCCTTTGGTAGAAATTGCAATGCTTTATGTAATTATTTGAAAATTCTAGTATAGTATTCTATTAATAGTCTGAGCGTAGCATCCTCTGTTGTCTAAAGAGTTTCACGAACGCCCCTGATATTATTATATACCTTTAAAAGCATGTAAAAATGAGAAATATTGTTAATTATCTAAAGAAACTGAAAATTCAATAGTTAAGGCTAAATTTCGATTTGTTCAATTTTAGAATCAACGATCTATCGCGTTATACCACGTTTCTATGGTGATAAAATATTAATAAAATTTAAAATCTGCAAAATTACTGTTTTTGTTGCATTATTTTATGTTAAAAAATATTGCAGGATAAAAATCTGAAGAAAACTTCAGTAACTAATAAAGCTATGCTTTTCCATGTAGCTGTTAAGGTTTTCCCTAAAACTGTAGCATGGAGTTCTTCAAAACCGCGCGTAAAAATTGTAAAACCTTTATACGTATACGTAGTTCACATTGGACACATTAAAAAGTTTTACTCATAATATACAATGGCAAATTTATTCCATAGTTATGATTTCTTACAGTCATTCTTAAGGTGTATTAAAGTTTCTTTGAGGTCGGCAAAGCGCACGTGATATCCTTGATGATGCAGGCGTCCATAGGCTACAGTGACCGGTTTACCTGTATGTACTGAGTGGCTGTATGGGCTGCGTACTTATTTGCCACTTTCGTGATATAGTAAAATAGTCTGATAGTTTTATGTATAAGCCTCCAAATATGGTGGTAGTGGCACGCACGTGATGTTTGCGTGTTATCGCAGGGTACAGCAGCTTGCCGCGGTCGACGCACAGCGCGCCGCTGGAGGAGAGCGCTGCTGACTGCAACGGCGGCTGCCTGCTGTCCGGGCCCGCCGTCGACATCGCGCTCGCCTGCTGCGACCACTTGCGGCCCCTGCCCGAGGAGCCCAAGCCGCCCGGTAATGCACTATACAGTTATTATATAATCTACGTAAAAACAGTTTCATTCCATTTCGAAATGCTTCGACTCGATATATGGAGGCACTACATCATGATCCTTAGAAATTGAAACGGATGAGATATATTATGCACGCAATATTCAACAAACATTAGTGTTTTTAGCTATAGATTTATTTGCAACGTAATCTATAATTAATGTCTTAGTTCGCCAGTAGCAGAGAAATTCTTAAATAATCAGACAGAAACATGAAAATGTTCTTATTTTTGAAAATTGACACATAATTGCAACATACCAGAGGGAGATTTTGTACAAAAGTTGATTGCTTGGGTACCTCTGTCCCATTTGTTTCAACCGTGAAGTAGTTGTGTTTGCATGGCTGTGTTTCGGTTTGAAGGGTGGGATATGGCGTGAATTTACAGGGTACAGAGGAATAACACCTTAGTCTTCAGGAATGGCAACGCATGGGGGTATCATGGGCGAAACAGTATACTCTGTTATGTCCATGGTACTGCTCATGTCTATAGGCGACGGTTACCACTTTCCATCAGGTGGGCCGTCAGCTTGTTTGCCGTTCTAAGTTGTATAAAAAAAAAAAAAAACTAACACTGCGATAAGCTGAAGTTATGAACGCTCTTAACTTTGGCACGTTTTTTTCATATAACTTGCATTTATTCAGTAGTAATTCAGTATGTTCATATTTTTCTTTAAATATAGTCGAAACGTTCTAACAGTGCTATAGTCCATAGTTGCAAATGTCTAAAATAAAACTATCTAGGCTAGATAATTAATACAACGGTGCCGTGTGCAGCGCCCGAGTACAGTCTCCGCGACTCGTTCGAGCACTCGTCCTCCGAGTCGGGCGCCACGCACGCGAGTGGTGGCGGCAGCGGCGGCGGCGGCGGGGCGGCGGCGGGGGCGGCGGGCGGCGGGGGAGGCCCGCTGCCCGACGAGTGGTCGCGGCTGGCGGCGCCCGCGCTGCAGCCGCCGCCGCGCCCCTTCAGCCTGCTGCGCGCATTCGTGCCGTCGTTCCTGTTCGTGTGGCTGTCGTTGGCGCTCGCGGCGCTGCTGCTGTTCGAGACCGACTGGCCCCCGCTTCGCGCGCTCAAGCACAAACCCGAGCTGGTCGCGCTGCGCCGCCATTACTACGCGCCTCTCAAGGAGTACCTCCGGCGGAAGGTCGTCGAGCTGTTTTGATTCCGATCGCCGGAGGTGGCCGACGGCCGGCGAAGGCCCGCCCGCCCGTCCAGTTTCACGTCTCGACGCGAGTCGAGAGACGATGCACCGGGTCGTCTGTCCCGATGTGATTCTATCGGAAACGATTTGGACTCAATGCGATATAACGCCGCCCGCAGTGTCCGTCGCCTCGTCGCGACCTAGACTTAAATTTGTAAGAACTAAATCGATGCTAAGATACGTGATTTTTAAATTACTTAAAACGATAAAATGTGCCGAGATAAGGAGAATCTCCTTTGCGACTCCGAAGTGTCAAATTTTCGGGCACTTTTTGATAGATACGTTAGTTATAGTATAGAGAATTATAATACGATCGATCAGAGGTAGCCCGCAATAATAGCGCCACTGTGTAGCTTGTAAATTCTATAACTATAAAGCGAATTCCCTTTATTTTCTTGCTGTGGCGTTCTATTATTCTGGCAGTTAGGTACTTAATTGTAAAATAATTAACAATACGCGCCAGTTAAAATCACTGACATAAATACGCTTTTACGATGTCAATAGTACAATTTATTTCTAAGCTTCTATGCATTGCTCTCGCACAATAATATATGGTAATTTTTTTTAGTAATAATAGTGTTTTCACAATCGTAAATGCCAGTACGCACAGGTGTCTTTGTTACTATAACAGAATTGACATAACAGGGGTGAATTCTGAGGCGTCATTTCTCTAAAATTTCAATTTGATATCTTAGTGAATTACTTGATAATAAGGACCAATATGAACTAAATTTTTAATAGATTAATTACCGATACGACATCATAACCTTTAAGAAAAGAGCATATTTATTTATTTATTTATTTTAAAAACCAACAGCCATTTACAAATAAAATTCCTTTTTAAAAGGCCGGCAGCATATCTGTAATGCCGTTGGTGTTGTGGGTGATCATGGGCAGCGGTAGTCTCTTACCATCAGGTGAGCCGCATGCTCGTTTGCCCCCTGTGTTGTAAAAAAAAAATTAAGTCTAAATTATTATAAACGTAATTTATGATGGTTCATAAAACAATCACAAAACTATCAAATTAAATTATTATGTTAAGAGATAGGAGAAATGGTGCTTCAGAGTTGACCCCACTGTCATATAATTGTTGTTATTAAAGTGGCGTGGTATGTTGAAAGTTGATCATTATTTGATTATATAGATTTTGAAGTGATAATTACACTGTGGAGTCATTATGAAAGAACATGTTGATAACAATAATCACATGTCACGTAAGACAGTTTAAGTTTATGACGGTCTTATTTGCTGCAGTGAAAAACGTCACCTGGTTATTATGCCGTAACGTGCAAACACGGGCACACATATCCAAAGTCATTAGAATGATGACATAATCTTCATCAACATCATCTCAGCCATTATCCGTCCACTGCTAAACATAGGCCTCCCCTATAGATTGTCATAAATAATTGTCCTGAGCCACCTGCATCACTGACTCCCTGTAATGCACTCAAGTTCAAGATAAATTGTATTTAGTTGGGGGTCATTACTACACTGCAATATAACCTTGAACTTGATAATTTGTCATTGTGTTAAAAGTCACTAGTATATACTACTTATAATATTAATAGGTGACATTTTGTCATCGTGACAATTTCCGTAATACCAAGTTCATGTTATATCTTGGTTACACGTCATACAATAATAAGCTTTTGTGTTTCTCAACACGTAGCCATAGAGTAGATAAGAGTGACGATTTTGTCATAGTGACAAATGTCACTCGTGCGTGCTAGCTATAATAGAGATATGAATAATTATCTAGGTACAATATTTATTGATGCAATCAACGCACAATAAATACTTTATAGCAGAGGCCAAGTGTTACATATAGTTCAAATACTTATTATAATATTGCACAATTACAAAAATTAGATACCGCTGTGATGTTAGAAATCTCATAACTGTATGTTTTAAATATCTAATTTGAAGGATCTGTTATTTTTAAATTTATACTTGATATTTATTATTATTTTACACTTATTTGTACATTCCACACAACGCTTTAGTCTTCCAACTAGATTTTATGCATTTTTATTATTTTATTTTTTCATATAATCTAGTAAAACATTAACACGTCGTTTAGAATTTAAGCTTTGTCTACACACGAATTTTTTGCAATTGTCAACTTTATTTATTCATGGCGAGTAATGCACTTAATCAATTAGTATGTGCCATATTTGAATTTCGAAAAAACTAGTCACATTAATATTACTATATTAAATCCTGAATAATTGTGATGACTGTTCTCTATATTTTTTTTTTACTAAAATTTATTTTAATAGATATATTTTTATTGTTATATTGTATGTTAATTGATTCTTATAATATAAAACTTGAAATTGGAACACACTTTTTTATAAATTATTTTTTTTTTCTATTTATCCAGTTTATTTTTTTATTTTCTTTTTTTGAGATGTTACTTGGGACAAAAAAATGTTGTCGTTATGTAATTTTCTTTTATCTATTAATGCCAGTTATAAGTAAAACAAAATGTTTCTGTTCTAATTACATTTTTAGTTCTATTTTTTCAAAAATAATATTAATTATAGGAATACATGGTGTATCCTAAGCCAATTAATAATGACCACTTTGTATAAAATGCCTAAGAGTTTTAATTAATTGCGCTAGAACTAACCTTGTACGTCACTAACTCGTATAAAATGATAACTGTTACTTAATATCTATTTTTAAACTGTTTCAGTTCAAATTATATTCTGTTTAGATAATAAATTGTTTCCTATTCAAGGAATTGGTAAGATAAGATTTATTTCCTTTGTTATCAAGAGGTTATATTATGTTATCGCTTAAATGTTTTTATTTACATTGAAAATTGTATAGTTTATTTTTCGTATGTTGTAAGCAATGAGTGGTATGCCTTATTAGAATGGGTGTGAAATAGATTAAGTAATAAGACGCTTTGTTTCTGCCTAGTCACTGTATAAACGATTCTTCTGATGCATTTACTTGTTAAAGACATTATTTTATTGTTAAATAATTATATATTTTTAAGGGTTCAGTAATTCTAATGCATTTCTAATAAAATACGCTTACGAGAATTGAACTAGGTATTTTATTATATGGAACCTATTATTTTAATGTTTTTTTTATTTATTATGGTAGGTATAATAAGAACAGTCGAGCATCTTTGACGATTGTGTATTATTTTGGCAATCAATGTTCAAAGAGTTTTAATAATATTAAAAATATATGGATTAAGTAGTCATAACCATATATTATTACCTAAATATCTTTAAACCGTATTGTTGTTCATAACAACTGAACAAACAAAACATGTACCATCCTACGTGTCAATAGTTCACAATCGGGCAATTCATAATTAATTAATAAAAACTTGAAATACATCTAATCTACATTTTATATATCCAAATGATGAACTTTTGAAAAACTAAAATAACTATTAATATAGGTTCCATATAATATTTGAAAACCAACAGTTTTGTATCTTTATTCCAAGTGATATTATTTATTACTTAATTTTATTTTCTTTACTAAACCGCCTATCAGCCGATTAGTGATTTAGTTAGTAAGTAATTATTTGATATGATCAATCGATTGAATAGTCAATTGTGTACTCGTATCTTGTCGGTATACATTTTTTTTTAATCGTGTTTCCTCTGTCAATTGTGAGTACTATTTTGCAATACGTAACAGAAGCCGAGTCGTTTTCTTAATACGAAATATGAAATTAGCTGAAAAATCTTGTAGTATTTATTTACACCTTATAGCATCATTTATAAAGAAATAAATACAGTAAATTTTAATTTGAATTTTATTTGTGTTAATTAATCTGTTATTTTACTGTCATGCAAATAGAATTCAATTGTTAATGGAAATGCCGAAACTACACTAGAACTTGAAATATACATATTTCAAGGTTTGTGTAATGTGGGGGGTTTTTTTTTATGAGAACACAACACTTATATTTTTTTTTATTATGAGAGAACCCACAAGAAGCACAGACATGACACATAGAGAGTAGGGCGGGATTAATTTTGCACTACGATTTTTGGTGATTAAAAAATCTTTGACTAAAAAAAATAGAAATTACCTAGGCGCAAGATCTTTTAGATCGCGAGTTTGTGGAGTGTGCCCCTCATGTTGTCCATTATCTGACAGCGTGGGGTACTAAAAAGGTCACTGTATCTCCAGAAAGGTCAGGATGCGGTGAGTCTGTCGAAATCTAAATACGTAATTTCGATACGATTCCAATTAACCTGATTTCATGCTCATTTATCACTTCTTACTAGTATTCGGCCAACGTATATCAACTACGTAGAAGGGTTTATCATTCCATTTTAATTTGTCAAAAAGGCTACACGTTTGCTGTGTTAAATATAAAATAGTGATAAAACTGCTTTTGTAGATTTTGTAGATAATTATAAAAGACTAAAGAGTTTGCTTCGAAGGATAAATTTTTTATTGATATGTAGGTATTTATTTTTATGCTGTTACTACTTTTGGCCTTAGAAAAAAGTAATGATAATAAATGGGGAAAAAAATATTTTCTGCATGAGCATACACGTTGGAGTTTTTATAACAGGCGGGAACAAAATATTTTTACCGCTATACCGATCCTTATTGCTGTTAGTAATAAATTTTACCAAAATGCACTTTTTTGTTTTCATATACATGTATGAAAAATTACTGGTTAATTTTTAAGATTGCTTTCAACATTGGATATTTAGATATATTTAATTTAGTTGACCATAAAATGAGAAGATTTATATGCGCAGATAGAGAAATGCACGTTTCGATTCGATTGCTAATAATAGTTTGAATATGCATACATAGTTATATAAAACTATAAAAACGAATACATGAACATGACATATATAAATCTGTTGGTTTTTATTTTATTCCCTTAAATTGAGTTTAAAATGTATAAATAGCGTAAACTGGTGTACTTAAATGCACTAAATTCAACAAAGATGGTAAATTTGTACAAATTGATTAAAACGTGTAACGTTCCTTTAATGTCCTCTGTCCCATTCGTGTTTCTATCGTGAAGCAGTTGTGTTTGTATGGCTGTGTTTCGGTTTGAAGGGTGGGATATGGCGTGAATTTACAGGGTACAGAGGAATAACATCCGAGTCCTCAGGAATGGCAACGCATGGGAGGTATAGGCGAAACAGTATACTCTGTATGTCCATGGTACCGCTCATGTCTATAGGCGACGGTTACCACTTTCCATCAGATGGGCTATTAGCTTGTTTGCCATTCTAAGTATATCGTCTGTATACCGTGTTTTTCAGCAAATAAATTATTATTATTAAGTTGTATAAAAAAAAAAGTGGAGAAGTTTAAAATAACTCAGCAAGCTTTTATAAAATTAAAAAACAAGATATCTGTTGTATATTTTCCGTATTTAAAAAATAACACGTCATTATATTAGTTCAAGAATAAGCCATTAATTTTTTTCATAAATTAGTTTTAAATATTTTTGCATAAATTTAAGGTAAAAAAGGAAAGATTAAGAATTCATGATATACCTACGATATCTTATTTATGTCTTGTCGATTCTGAATTAATTCATTCATAGTTTATGTTAATAAAACATCCTGCCGGAATAATTTTTACATTATTATTTATTGTTTTAAAAAATCCTTCCAAAATAAGCAACAAACAATTAACAACATAAAAAGAATAGTGCTTCTTACATCTGCTCGTTTAAATTCGACACTGTAGTAACTTCGTAAGGTATCATCACACGATGCAACTAAATAACTGGGCAATTATGGCACACAGTCGATTACATAAAGGAAATAAACATGCTACAATGCAGTCGAGTTTAAAACGCCTTTATTTTAAAGACAGGTTTAGGTAATGGCATTTTAGAATCAACTTCATTGAACATAAATTGTATGTTAATTCGGTTTAATAAAAAGAGTTTTTTTTTTTTTTTTTGTGCTATGTTAATTCGGTTTAATAAAAGCTGGTTAACTTATAATATGGATGATGGATAATATGTATAAAAACAGTATTTTTATAAGCCTGCTTAGTTTTGATTTGATTTAACACTATATAGGTCTTTCAAATACGGCAACAATGACGCCACGTGTGTTTTCATACGCGATTTTGTAGGGTAACCTATATTTTGCTCATACCACTTCAAACACAAGACATTCCTTAGAATCCGAAATTCAGCAATAGTTTTTGAACCATTTAAAATCGAAAGTATTAAATTAGGAATCGGTTTATATGATCTACACTATTTTTAAATCATTATACCCTTTTTTTTTTTTACCTAAATTCAAGACCGATGCCCATGCAAACAATTTTACATAAAGTAACTGTTCAATTAAATTTCAACCCAATTACAGTGTTTCCAATACAATAAAGCAGACGAATGAACACAATACTAATATAAAATCAGGAAAAATAATTACAAATTCAGATTCAGCTTATAGTCATGTAAAATTATACATCCTCTTGAGCTAAAACTATATAACTAAAATCCATATCCACCCATAAAATATATAGGTACCTAAGCATATAACAGAATATAGAGCTTAATATAGATTTCACTACATGCTAAAGTGGCGGCGTACAAGGCGCGGCTGCCTCTAAGAAATATTATTGTCCATCAAACGGGGGAGGATCGGCGACAGTGAGTGAAGACCGGCGGGGACTGGCGAGGGTGGACGAGGACCAGTGAAGGCAAGCGAGTGCAAGTGCGAGCGCGAATCAGTCCACGATGGATATTTGCGCATATCCAACCAGGCCCTTCTCGTCTAGAGGCTCTGCGGGATCGGCAGATTCCAACGGGAACGTGACCGAGCGCGTTGCAGGCGCGTCCGGAGGCGGGAACAGGTGCAGATCGACCAGCCGTTGTAGCTGCTGCGCGATAGCAACTGAGTCTCGAGCCTCCACCAGTCCTGCGCCCACCAGCTCTGTCGCAATACCGTCTGCGGAATCCTTACCCGCTGCGAATTCAAAACGAATATCGTTTAGTTCTTTTCTAGCATTCCTCATACGTAGTACTAGGTTGATTTGTGGCGCTTCCTCTGCGTCGAGAGAGCCAATGGTGAAGCCAGCGCGAGGCTCGCCTTCCTCGCTCTCACTTTCAGAAGAGTCCGCGCGCAGAAGCTGATTCATCGGTCGGTCGCGACTCGTCTCCCCGTCCTCCTCCTCATCATCCTCTTCACTCTCCCACACCCACTCGCCGGTCTCCATGCGATGAAGGCGACCGGAGGTCCCAGGTTGTCGTTTACTCGCTTTATGCACTCTAGTCTCCATACTTGGTCCTATCGTCACTAGTGTTTGAACTAAATATTTACGATCTTTCGCTTTCTTGAAAAATGAATGTTTCAGTAATTCTGGCGCTGATGGCCTCTTTGTAGGATCCTTCTGTAGGCACTCCGATATCATTTTTCTGAAGGTTTTGCCGTATGCTTTGTATTGATCTTTTTCCTCGGCGCCAGTGTCCAATGTTGGAGGATCATTCTGTAGTGTGAGCATTAACACTTTCATTGGAGGATACTTGTGGTAGGGTGCAGTGCCGGTCGCCATTTCGATGGCCGTTATCCCAAATGACCAGATGTCTGCCTTAAAATCGTATCCATGATTTTGCTCCATGACTTCTGGCGCCATCCAGCAAGGGGTACCTACGAATGTATGGCGTACTTTCTGCCTCGATAAATCCCTGCCCGTAGCAAGCCAGGCCGACACGCCAAAATCCGCAATTTGGACTATTCCGTCATCTCCTAGCAGTATGTTGCCAGCCTTGATATCTCTATGTATTTGGCCATTTTGATGAAAGTATTCAAGGCCTTTTAGTACTTCTTTAAGAACAGTAGCAATAGTCGCTTCATCGAAAACTCCATGTTTGCAATTAGAAATCCTCATTTTATGTTTAATTATATCTAATAAACTACCACCTTCTAAGAGTCGAAGCACGAGCCACAACTCTTCTTTTACGACGAAACTTGTGTAGTATGTTACGACGTTCTCATGATTGCAGCTGGACATGGCCTGTATTTCTTTGAGCAATTCGTCCATGGAAGTGTTCCACTTCTCCAAGTTGATGCGTTTGATGGCACATTTTTCACCGCGCGGCGCGCAGTAGGCCGCGTGAACGACGGCCGTCGCGCCCACGCCGATCACTTCCAACAACTCATAATCGTCCTGGCTATTGGGCCATGAATGACTCGAGCTGGCCATATTAAGTTTTTGTTACAGGTTTCTATGTGATGAACTATTTATAACAGCTAGGGGTATTATTTGTACTTCTAATAAGGCCAAACTGTAAGGCATGTATTGAAACTACCGGTCACACTTTGTTTGCTTCATTATAATAAAATTCGAGCAGTTTATCGCCCATATTTATATGATTATTTTGTTTATAATTTTTTAATATTAACATAGATTTTTTTTCTTCATACAGTTTTTCCAACCTATGGACTACAGTTGATTTTTCTCTTAGTTCTAACACTGTCTTATCCTTAAAGTTTATAGCGTCGTTATAATAATCTAGACTCGATGGGTAGAGGTCATCTCCTGAAACCATAAATTCATAGGTAAATATCTATGATAGATGTATGACAGTAAGGATGTAACTAACTGTAACCTATAAAAAAAAAAAAACAATTTTTTTTTTTTATAATCTAGAGAAAAGTAAAAGAAACAATGAAAATATTAAACAAGTTTATATTTTTACATAATTTCTCGATTCTTATGATGAGATTAGTTAATTTCATCATTAGAATCATTTAGTGTTTAATAAAAAAATGTTGTACCTGGATAAAGAAGTACTATGCCATCCTTTGCTCTGAGCACAATGGGATAAATCACATCAATGTTGTGTTTATTTCTCTTTTTTCCAAATTCGGTCAACTCATCAATATCAGCTATATGTGCAAGTCGTAGCAGCTCGTAGGCTTGTGGTGGATGTAACTCCAATTCTAACTGAATATTTTTCTTTAATATACCATTAGGACTCTCCCACTGAAATAAACATTTTTGTTAATTCTTTAGCTCTAAAAAGAAGTGGTTTGTAATGTACCTGTTCTTTTTTACTTTTCTGCATATATATAATATAAAATATAATTGATAGGTAGCATTCTTTCTTTCTTTTTGTACATGACATAGTCTTTTTGCAATCAATAAGTTATGGGGGGGCTGTGATGGTTTGCTATGATATTAAATTTTATGAAAAAGCTTTTTTGTGGCATATTTAGTTAATATTTTCTTAGAAAAGTTTTAAATGTCATTACAAAGTACGAGTATGATTAGGACTTCCATAGAATGGTTTTTAATTCAATGTTTCAATTAAAATTGAGTTTCTGAAAATATAAACAAAAATGAAAGATAATGTTAGATAGGTAACTATAAAAATACCTGAACTTTTGTAACTTCTTTGCTACTCTCGAGGTTATCAGGCTTGTTGTTCAATGTTGTGACAAAGAATACAGTGTCAAACCGTCGGTTGAAGTGACATGGAGTTAGCCAATGACTCCAGTAGTAAAGAGCCCATATATCAGGATAGCAATTGTACTCTTTACACAGGTTTAGAAGTCGTTCAGGGTTGTCACTTATCTATAAATAAATAAATTTATTAGTATGAACCTATTGAAGTAAGGTAAGTTTATGCATAGCCTAAAGCTGTGATGGGCAAAGTATGGTCCGCGGGCCAACTCCGGCCCGCGAAAGTATTTAATCTGAATCGAAGGTCCATCGACATGGATAGTATATGGCCCACTATAATTACGTTTTGATGGTTGAGAAGTAGATACTAATTAGTAGAATAGTAGATGCATAATCTATAGGTGAAGGTAAACTAACCGCATAGTTTGAAAATATGAATATATGGCAAATCAAAAACAATTTCATATGTCTCACATGCCTACCATGGCAGGGCCTTCGAATAAAAGTTATTAAGGTAAAAGGTAATATGTAACATTTGTGTGTAATGTTGTAATGTTTTTCTAATATTATTATTAAAAGTTTTAACAAAAAATGTATTTTTTTTATAATTCTGGCCCTCCTTTAGAATTTCTTAAACTTTGTGGTCCCCATTAAAAAAGTTTGCTCACTACTGGCCTAAAGAGACTAAGAGGTGTGCAAACAGTGAGGGAAAATGTGTGGATGGTGCAGTAGAACGTTGAAAAGCATGTCTGTCCAAATGCAGCCACCATTAAGCAATATTATCTCATCAGTAAATATGTCAGGTTCTGTTTGTACATATGTGAAAATTTTATATAAATATACACAGCTTGGGCTAATCCTTGTATAAATGCCATTACTGTGTATTGTAAGCCAGTGTTCAGCTTTGTAGCTTATCAACAAGGTTAAGCAACATCTGATTTTTACTTGTTTCTTATATTTCATAGACAGTCAAATATTACTTTTTATTTTAAACTAGCTTTTTGTTTGCTACTTTGTATGTGCAGATATTAGAAGTAGGAAGACCAATGAAATAAATTACTTTAAGTCAATGTATCAAGATGAAGCATATACCAGATTTTAAGTTAGACTTTCAGGAATATAACTGTGAATACCGCATCTAAGTTGGGTGCAGTAGTTTTGTGTGATGCCAGAAAAAATAAACAGAAAGACAAAATTTCTGAAAATTATTGTTTTGGTATCTATTTGGTCTTTTCTCCCCATAATTTTTTCTTAAATATTTTCCAGGTACAGACATGATCTGGTTATAATTTTACCTTATTATTTCTAAAAACAACAAACCTCTTAAAAAACCAATTTTAGCTATTGAACAGTTTTGTCTTTCTTTTGTGTTGAATTTTCAATTTGACAGAAAGTGAAAAAAACAATATAATAGTACAAGGTTTTAGTTTTTATGAATAAGGAAGTTATTATATTAGTAATTCTGATATTAATACATGCTTTTTTTGTTTATTCACAAGCATAACTGATGGGATAATATGATATAGTAATTATATATTGATTAAATAAATAAGTTTCACTTTTTCAATAGGCTACTTATACAGATGTAACAGAAAAGGCATACTCATGAAACAAGAATACAATTGAAATAAAAATGAATCTTAGTTTTAAGTTGATACACTTTATATTACATCTTTTTTTCTGAATTATCCACTTAAACTCACTTGATCTCAAATGAGATCCTCTCGCGCATCAAATGTGTCCCAATTTGCGCTATTCCGAGGGCCTCTCGCTACTTATAAATATTATGTTTATATTTTCATCTGGAGCGATACCTTCTCGTTTTTGTATTTCATTGGGCTTACATATATTTATTGTATGCTCGTTCAAATTTAGTGTGTGTTGTGTGTGTTGACCTCATTTAACAGAAAAACCCTCACATTAAGTGGTTAATAAATAAGCTATAAGAACACAGGTTGTACCTATAGCCAAGATTCAAAATAGCCTTTTAGTAATTAATGCATAGTAGAATTAAGAAAAATAATTTATTTATTAAAAATGAAAATGAGGAAAATGCGGTATGATCGATCTATCAACATGGAGCATAACATTGGCTTCTTCCATTCTTTTTTGCAGAACCACAGTACTTTTATAAATACTTAAAAAAACATAATTATTCAAAATGTCATAATACTCTGATTATAAATTTTTCAAATCAACATAAATAATAATAATATCAAGCTGTCAAAAGCGAATTAAAGAAATGAGTAAAGAAAGTTCCAACATTGCATTAAGTTCCATAAATAACCTAAACATCTATTAAGAAAGTTGTCTTGTGAATAAAAATTACATACATATACTAAATTGATAGTATTAGATTTTACATAAGCAAAGTCATACAATTTGTTTCTATAATCTGTTTTAATACTTGACATAAAAATTACCAGATTGTATGTCAAGTAAAAATTAACACATTAAAACATTTACACACTCACTTGTTTCTGCCAAAATTTAACATCAACATCTGGTATAATATCCGCATACAAGCTATTCCTGTTACTTTTATGATCTTTGCTGCATATCAACAGTCCCACTTCTTCAAAGGTCTCTCTTATTGCAGTGATTCTCAATGCTATGTGCCTGAGGGCAACACAGAATTTTATGAGTAAATAGTAGAAATGTCCTCATTTGAACCAAGATAAATATAGTTACACAGATAATGAATCAGTGTATGTAAACAGAATTGAATAAACATACAATGTGTTAACTTTTTTGGTACTTATATTTTTGTTGAAATATTGTTCATAACTAATACCTTAATATTGGATTGGGTTGAAATAAAGTTGTCGGTGTGCCTACACCGTGAAAGGTTGCAAAATCGTCGTCTGTGTATCCAAAAGACTTGAACAGCTTTAACCAGTGATCGCTGTCATCAGCAGGCTCGGCCACACCGCCCGGAAAAACCACACTGTTGGGGAAAGCTCCGGTGCTCGGTCGAGTCTGCAATAATACGTCGTAGTTAACAGAGGCTCGTACCAAGTCACCATATCGCTTGTTCAGCACTATTAGAGAAGAGGCGTTGCGCCAGCCGCGCTGAACGACAGATTTCATGATACACTGTCGATTCCGAGAGTCACTTCCACGTACAATTTTAAGCAAATATTGATAAAAAGGTCAGCACAGTTCTCTTATAAAACACAAACCTTTGTTTGCGCTAGATAACGACAGCGGAATAAAAATTAGTCTCAATAACATCTAAGTCAAACTACAAGAAGATATCAAGATAATACCTAAAATGCCAAAATACAAAAATAGCAAATTGACTTCCATTCCATTTACACTACACTATACTTTAACAAATGACATATTTCATTCATTCGCTGTCTAACCAATGATATTGAGTACATTGCTCAGATTGTAGATTGTGACAATGGTGGTAATTGGGTGAAAATACCTTTTTATTTGTTTTAGCCAATTAGAATTGAGTAGCAATTTAACCACGTTCCTTGTTCGTAATGGTGTCTTCAAATTTAATTTAAAATAATTATGTCATATATAATTATCTTATATTATTTTAAATTAAATAACAATGAAACAATATGGGGTAATGTTACTTATACAATGGATATAGCATGTGATGTGAGTTTCAATCAAGTAGATACTCTGTCTATGATTAAATCTTATTTATATATGTGTTATTTGACTTAGAATTTTAGAAAGAGAGAAGGAATAATATTATAAATATTTAAGATTAGCACCTAAGGCCGTAATGTATTTTGAAAGTTGCGATAATAAAAATTGCTCAATAATTACTGTTCGTGTTCGAGAGTATAAATTTCTTGATTACTTAGGCATACCGTAGTTTATGATAGATGACAATTTCATAACGATGTTTGCATTCGTTGATATGTTTTGTATTATTTAAAAGCAATCAGCAGTTATCGTTAGTGCTGCCTCTGATGAGTAATGAAGGAACTAAAATTATGAATTAGTTCTAGGTTTTGCTACTTGATCGCAAATGGCGCTGTTTAAAAGAGAGCTTAGAGAAAAGTGCATTTTACTCAAAATAGTGATACTACTCATATTTCATCTAAGTCGTGTTTATGAAGCAATTGTGCAATATAATACTTTTTTTTTGTATGAAAAGATTGATGAATGTGGAAGAAGCGAAAGAGGTTTGTTTAAATCGAAGCATTTGGCGTTCCATTGTTTCTGTCTACCCTAATGGGAGACAGGCGTTACAGATATGTATGTATGATAATTTATCCTAACAAAAGGCATATTTTTTGAGAAGGATTGTTATGTTTGTATGTTTATATGTTTGTTAATTATATTTTAACACATAAGGTATAACGCATGCGCGAAGAGCTACGGTATATAGTCAGTACTTAATAATCGTCAAACAGCTGAATAGATTTTTTAAATTATAGCTAAGATCGCTTGATCGAAAAACCTTTTAAACAAAAAAAAAAAAAAAAACAAATCGGTTCATTCATTTGGGAGCTACGGTGTCATATACACATATCTAAGATAAATATACATATGATATGATACGAAATCAAATCGAAATAATTTGCATCATTTTACGGGCGTGGTGTATCAGCGCGTGTAAATATTTTATTTCAGTGATTACTATTTCGCTCTTTAAATTGCATTTGATTCAATTTGAGTGTTTTTTTTGTATTAGGAAAATTAATTGTTTAAAATTACGAGTGAAATAATTGTCTTCTCATTTATGAAGAACCAATAGTAACTTATGACTAGGCCGTATAGGCCATGCTTTTTGCCTATTAAATTTGGATGAATTTTAAAACAATAACAGCATTAATTGGTTGAAAGTTTTGCTTTTCGATAATTTAATCTGATAGGATTTGAACCCACATCTATGTCATTCAGATTGCGTGAGCTTTCAGCTACATCACGACTTTTAAATGAAGTTCTACGCCTGTTATAAATATAATAAAATTGTGATTAAATGATGTTTGTACACCAAATACTAAAGGGGTTTTCACAGTTGGAGTCCTAGAGTACAAACATAAAATCTGATGTATCTTTAAACTGTATTTATTTAGAAGATAGTCATTTAGAAATGGACACTTATTTCTAAAATTCACACGTACAAAGTTAAGGGCAAAAGGTAGGTAGTTTAAAATATTTTCAAATATATTACGATTATTACGTTTATCCGTTTATACGATTTTTGTGGTCGGTTGAATTATAGATTAAGGGTAGTACTTGATAATGGTAAGTGGTACAGTAGCTCAGGTATATACAATTCCTTTTATTTCCTAGATGCATTCCGCGGCACCGTTTGCGTGAATCAATAATTAAATTTAGCACATAGGATGCTATATACCAAGTTAGGATATAACCTACTCGTGTAACAAATTTGATGCCAATTCGTTCAGTAGTTTTTGCGTGAAAGAGTAACAAACATCTATCTATCGTTACAAATATTCACATTTATTACATTAATAGGATTGTTACATTTGTGCCATAAAAACAACAAAATGTATTGCGGCAAACCACATTGATGAATGACGAGATGTTTTGTAAGCACTAGATTTATAATATTTTGATTTAAAACACAGATTATGTACCTACATTTAGCCAATCTTTGTACTTATCTACCTACTGTTTTTATTTAACAATGGAGCAATTATCAAGCAAATGGATGCAAACACCTAGGTTCTTTATGGAATGATAATGAAATGTTAACCCCGCCTGCGCTATCGGTATACGCTAACGGGGCACCAATGAGGGATGATAGGAGAAAATGAAAGCAAGTTAGCCCCTCATGAAGAATTCAACAAGAATTAATCACGATGGTTTCTAGGGAGAACCGCGTGGAGGTCGACTTGACAGGGTACATTGTTACCAATAGTGTTTCTAGTTTCCATTAGTCACAACTCCATTTTTACTAAAAATCTAGGTAGTTAAAGTACTTATCATTTTCAAAGTAATTTCTCATTTAAAGAAAAAAAATGCTAATTCTCCAAAAGAAGTATTCAGGTTCTAGCAGATTATTATTATTTCTTATTTATTTTACAGTCACAAATTAAGATTTTTATCAAATGTCTCAACAATAAAAAAAAAAAAAAGAAGAAAATAGACTGGTGTTTATTTTAGTTCATGTTCTTTTTAGGAAATTACCAATTGTTATTTGCTTTAGGACTCAGTGGCGGATTGAATCACTATTTCAGAGAATTGGGAGCCTTTGTAAACATTTTAACTCACATATACTTATGATATAAACCTTTATACTCCCACAAACTACTAACATATCGATTCTCAATCACAATACCGTGTAATCTATCAGTCAAGTATCTATAGTTTACCATTAACTCGAGCTCCCTTTACCATTATCTACCCTCCTTATTCTGTGCCTCCTATGTAAACACCTCTATACTCTATCTATAATATACTATACACAAGAAGCATCGTTATGGGCCACGTACCGAAACGATCAAAAGGGTACCTGAAAAGGTCATCAGCGTATCTTTATCGACGACACGCTTATGGAATCCTGATATGTCGCAATCGCCTGAAGACACCGGCTTAGATAATACATGTCGAGTCGAGTAGAGCGTACTTGGCGAGCAAGGCCTATACTTACAAGTAATTTCAGTGTGTTTAATTTGATCCTTATTCTGTTAGCGGTAGGGTTCACAATGTTTGAGTAAATTGTGGGTATTTTGATATGGGCCGTGCGCGCAACAAGTGCGGCGCAGGTGGAGGGGCGCGGTGCGCGGGGGCTGCTCATTGATCAGCCGGCGCCTGTTGCTCGGACTGAAGACACCCCCCACCCTCCAATGACCTGTTCTGTGCTGGTAGGCCCGACCAGTGTAAGCAAACTGATTTAATGCCCACATACGCGGGAACTAATGACATATCAACGATAAACCGTAATTGCAGTCCATTATTATTTCCATAACATCATGTCATTTTGGAAATAATATACTGTGGGGGAACAATAGTAGGTATTTCATTTACGTTCACAGGTGTGTGCGTGAAACGGTTGATGCAGAATTTCTTGAGCGTTATGCGAACCTTTATTATATTTATAGGTTATGTTTACGTAGAGGCGAAGTTTGTTTCCAACTTTTTCTATTCGTCGCTTGTTTTGCTTGTAATACAAATGTGAGCTTAGAGTTTGTGAAGCTGATTATGTATTCCAATTTCGAATTTAGAAAGTACCTACACTTTAAACTTCACAGAACGTAATAATAAAGACAAAACCAAGAACAAGATCATAATCTTAGTTGAACATTTTGTTGTAAGTACTTTCAAAGGGAGTTACTTCTAACTTATATGTATATATGATTCATATCAATAGTTGCAAAGTTACGGTGGCTGGAACCTTTAGTGCCTTACATAATTTATATGGGTCTGAGTGAATCACATTGATATTTGGACATTTTGTTGACTCGTATCTCTAACTGAAAGGAACGCTCAATATAAATAGTTATATTTAATTTTTTAATTTCATTAAATATTTCAAAGTTTAATTATTATATCGGAGATTTTATTTTTTATTAAATAATTTGTACAACACCAATTTCATTCTTAATTCATATTGTTTTTTATTTTAATTACTTTTATCTCGTGTTATTTGTTAGCTTTCTTCTTATACATATGAGTTAGAAGTTTTTTTTTTATATGAGTCACATTCGTTCCACTTAATTAGATACCTACGTCGAGGTAAATGGGGTAATCATTTAGAGTCGAAACGTTCAAGCGCTGCATAAAGAAAGCACAATTTTACCGTAAGCACGTCACGTAAGAACAAAAAGCCGGAAGCGATGAATTTAAAATGCGCAACTTCACTTTGCGACGTGGAATTAGCTGTAGGCATTATACCTAACTTTAGATAGATTATAATAATCAATGCTGTTTGAAATTCAGTAGCCAAAGATAATAAAGCGAACCCTTATTGCGGATTTTGCTGTAAGGACTTTCAATTCGATGTCATTTACGTAGATTTTAATATAATATTTATCATTTAGGTAATTTTGGCTATTTTTTAGCTACATAAGGGAACTTAATGGTATAGGACAGCAGCGTCAATTAAAAAAACATCTCTAAAACCCTAATTGCGGTTACCAATTCGCCTTCCAAGTTTAGCAACTACTGGCTTTGTCAAATACCTTTTATGGGTAAGGCTTATGTTCAGC